AATTAAGGTAAAAATAATAAAGATAATAATCTAGTTAGGTAATAAACTAAATAATAAGTATGACATAGCCCGTACTTACGGGAGCTATAGTTACTCTATATAAATGTAAGGCCTATTGTAACGTGTTACGTAATACATCAAGAGGGCATGTCTTACTATACCACTACAGTACGCTTTATCGCCTTTTTTTTTAACGTTTAGCTTTAATAACCTAACTCGTTTTCCGTGCCTTAGGATACGTACCGTATCCTTAGATATTAACTCCGTTCCCTGGTGTACGTTACTTACTCCCCGGGTTATTACTTCCGCCCCTTAAGGTATTAATACTTTCTAAAGGCCTCCTTCTCCTTTTCCTCCTCTAGGGATTATACTATACCCCAGGGTCTCCTCCTCTTCCTTCTTCCGTTTTTTAGGGTATTAATACCTTCTGGGTAGGGCCTCCTTCTTCTCCTTAGGGGTTATACTATACCTCAGGGTTTCCTTCTCTTCTTTCGTTTCCTTCCCGGGGCCTTTCGTTTCCCGAGGTATTACTCCGAGTACCTCTAGCCTCCCGGGTACTCTTTCCCTGGTATTCTATTCTTTCCTAGGATTTCCTTTGATCTTCTTATTCGGAAGCTGCTACGTATTCCCGGATATTATTTCCGTTCCTTAAGGTACTACTACTCCTTTAAGGTTTCTTTCTCTTTTTCCGTAGGTCTCCCGAGGTTCTTCGCCCACTAGGTACGCCTTCCTGGTAGCTATTCTTTCCAGAAGCCTTCTCCTTATTCTTCTTTTAAAGTATTATTAACGCTTCGGATATTATCTAACCCCCTGGTATATTATTTCTTTAAAGCTATTATTTGTTCGTTTCCTAGGTTACGTTATTTATTCCTTAAGTTATTATTCTCGTTCCCTAGGATATTACTATTTCCTAAGGCTTTCTTTCTTTTTCTAAGGTATTATTATTTCTTTAAAGCTATCGTCCTGATCCTTTTATTAAACTGTAAAGGTTTAAAGCCCTACGCACAAAGTCGTATATAAACGCTTATTAAAATTAGCCTAATTCCTATAGCTATAGAATCGTCAGTTCGTTTACTGCTATTTAAAGACCTTTGTTTATTTTCTGTTAACGGATCCCGTTAAATCCGCCGGAGGACGTATTAAAGTCCGCCGTTCCTATTCGTTTAAAGACTATCATTTATCTATATATTATTAGCGGAATCTTTCGGAGGCTCCGCTTAAGGACGCGTTAAATACGTCTTCTCGTTTATTATTAAAAGGCTTAGGGCCTTTCCTACCGTTTAAAGGCTAAGGGCTTATCTTTTCGTTAAAAGGCTAAGGGTCTTTTTATTCGTTAACAGAATCCTTCGGGCTTCATTTTAAGGCGTATTAAGGTGCGCCCTCCCGTTTACTACTAGCGTCTTTAACGCCTTCTTTAAAATATTATTATCTTAACTAAACTTATCATTTTGTTGTTATTTTAACGCTGTTTCTTTCTTATATTACGCCTCGGGCGCTTTTAACTTTTCTAAGTGCTATGCTTTAACGCTTTACTATCTTTCTCTGAGAAAAAAGCTTTTCTCCTTTTTTAGCCGTCGATTTCGTCGTTCTGTATTTCGAAATTACTGTTTAAATTACGTTTTCTCAGGGTTTTATCGGTCGTTTCTTAGTTATCTTTTATCAGTCTTCGTTCGTAGATACTACCGGCGCGTATATCTAAAGCTAATACTACTTTTTCAATTATTAACCTAGCTATAGGTATTAATATCGCCTTTCCTACTACTAATTCAGTATATTAAAATATATGTCTACTATTTATCGTATCGGTCCCTTCTTGTAGTTATTACTAGCGCGTATATCTAAAAGTTAATACCGCCTTTCCGACTATTAACCTAGCCGACTATCTTTTCCTTAAGTACCGATATCGCCTTTTCTATTATGTTACGGAGCAGTTAAACCAGCCTATATAAGCCTACATACCGCAAAGCGTGAATGTAGGCGTTTACGTTTTACGTAACATATTGTTAATCCCGTTCATTAATATATTATTAAGCCGTTACTTCTCGTATCGGTCCTCTTTCGTAGGTACTGAATAGGAGCAGCGTGGGCACGCTGACGGAGGCACGAAAACTGCCCAACTGCCAACAACTGGCCCAGTGCCGACCAACTAAGATCACAGCTATAAACAGCTATAATCAGTTAATCGGCCAGCTAAAAACGGCAGCTAGAAAAGGAGAGAGAGGACTAGAAAAGGAGGGCAATAAGGAGGATAGCTAGAAAGGCATAGCAAAAGGAGTAAATAGCTATAAGGCCGTAATGGCTACTATAATAGCTACCGTAATACCTATAGGTCTAAGTCTAACTAATGAAAATATAAGTACGCGACCTATATAAATAGACATCGAAAAGGCTACGTGGCCTAGATCTACTGCACTACTACAGTACCGCCGGCGTATATATCTAAAGACTAATACCGTCTTTTAGATTATTAACTTTACTAACTACCGCTTCCTTAAGTACTATATCGCCGTTCCTATTACTAATTCTATTCGCTTTAATATTAATCTGTAAAACGATTAAAAGAAGGTTAGTTTAGTTTTTTATTACAGTTTTTCGAATTATTTACTAGGTAAAAGCCGTATATTAATAAATTTAAGCTAAACGAAGAGAAAAGGAGAGAAAGTATACCCTATCGGCCGTACTTATAACAGCTGGCCTTATTCTCTATAGGTACTGAGAGGCTAATTACGTACCATACCCTAGCATTAGCCAGAGCTCCATAATAGGCACAGCCTATTATACGATATAGCTTACTCAAAAGTATACTCTATCAGTAATTATATTACGTACGATAGTCCAAGGTAGATACAACTAATATTACTTTACTAATCGAGAGGTAAGGAATCTAATATAGTTATCGTATCTTAGATATACCTCTCGGTTATTAAGAAGAAGCAGAGCGTACGTGATACTAAAGTCCTAGATAGCTTATTCGAAAGTATACTCTATCAGTAACTATAGTATGTACGATAATTTAAGATAAATAAAACTAATATTACTTTGCTAATCCAAAGACGAGAAATCTAATATAGTTATCGTATCTTAAGTATATCCCTCAGTTATAGAGATATAATAATCGCTAACCTGAAGATAAAAGAAGTAAGGGGAGAAAAGAGGATAAACGTAAAAGTTATTTATCCGGTTATTACGGTACGACGAAGTAACTTAAGTGCTCGTAATTGAAGAATATATATTAATCAGAAGACGACAAATTTAATAATAGAAACGAATCTTAAATTGAGATTAAAATAATAAAGTTAGTAATTTAATTAAGTAATAATCGTAGTATAATCCGTATTCACGGGAGTTATAGTTACTTTATATAGGTATAAAGCCTATCGTAACATATTACGTGATGCATTAAGAGGGCATATCTTACCGTACTACTACATTATAAAGATATAGTAATCGCTAGCCCGAAGGTAAAAAAGGTAAGAAGAGAAAAGGGACTAAACGTAAAAGTTATTCATTTACCTATTACGGTATAATTAAGTAATTTAAACGCTCGTAACTAAAATAGATATACTAATGTGTCACGTAGAGGTTATACGTCTTCGTTGCTTACCTCAGCAATAGGAGCTGCTATATATTCGCTCCCGTTGCCTTCTACTCCTTAGCTCGTTCTTAGATAGATCGAAGACCTTTTCACCTTCTTTTTGCTCCTCCTCCCGTTGCTCGTAAGATAGCTCTTCGCGCGCGCTCTCGCGCACGTAGCTCCTTCATATAGCTACGTAATATAATGAAAAAACAATAGATCTAATAATGAAAACGAATCCTAAATTAAAGTAAAAATAGTAAAGTTAATAATCTAGTTAAGTAATAATTATAGCATGGCCGTACGGAGCTATGGTTACTCTATATAGGTATAAGGCCTATTATAACATATCACGTAATATACCAAGAGAGCATGTCTTACCATACTACTATAGTAGTTAATAAGCTTATAAAGTCTTTAGGGGTAAAGAAATATTATAAATTTAAAAAACTATTATATGTAAAGAACTTATAATAACCTTATTTCTTAAATGAAATAAGTATATAAATAGAATAATAAAAGAAGAAAATACTATAAGATTAAAAGCTTACGTTATTTAAGGTACTAATAATAGCTTTACTTAGATTAAGAGAGCGTATAGGCGCGTAAGTACATAATCAGTTACATATAGCTATAGGATAAGCTCTGCCTTAGTGGCAGTTAATTGAGAGTTAAAAGGTACGCTAAAAAGGCTACGTAGGTAGCTTTAATTCCATCAACTATTTATCTTATCCTTAGACAGCTACAATATTTAAAAATAACTTTTTCAATACAGCTTATTTAATATATATATATACATAAAATACATTTTTATATTTAAAGAAAATTTTTATTTTTAATTTAAATTAATTTATAACTTATTTATTTAATCTACTATATTGTGATTAGTAATTTCTGAATCTTTAATGCTTTTTTAAAAGGTACCTAGGCATTTACTGATATTCGGCTTGCTAAGAATGTAACAGAGTTACCTGGTACTTGCGGCACCTTAATGTACTATACAGGGAGATAGTGATCTGCTGATACCATGTCACGTATTATTACCCTCCCTAGAAAGGATTACTATAGCTAAAAGTATTTATATCGCGATACTAAAGCGAATTAAACTCAGGATACGATATAGGTATAATACGAACGTTATATTAATTTAGCAGTTCTTTCTAAGAATAAAATAGCTATTCTATATAATGTTAAGCTAAAATATATATTTAAATCAATATAATATTAGAAAGGTAATAAATACCTATATTATTAGAATAACTATAACGTAATACTTATATTAAATTATAATAAAATCCGTATTATAACCTTTGCTATAAGTATCTTATACCTAATGAAAGAGTTCGTTATTATGACCTTATTTGAAGACTACTTCCATACCGTGTTAGTATTATAGATATACTGTCGATAGACCCCCCCCCTCCCGCTATGGTAGGTAGACACCTCTCAACGGAGGTTCCCAAGCTTTACATTTACGGTACCCACCATCTTATCAGCCGTCATCTAAGGTATAGGCACGAGGGTAGTTCCGATTCCATCTCATCTCAGCGAACGGGATCGGCCTCTTCCATGATCCAACTCAGTGGCACGCGTGAAACTACTTCCAACCACCTTTAACAACCTTCTTCCCCCTACTTACGGTCGTCTTCGAATACCGACATCCACAGGTAGATATCCGACGACGGATCCCGCTGGCTGACCTCGACTCGGCCTTGTCTAAATCTGTTTTCCTAACATCGTTGTCGCTGCTGCTTCTCCTACTCTGACCGCTCGCGCCACGAAATACGTAGGTGTGCATACAATGTATACTTATTTGCATCGGCTGACTTTGTTGATAGATCTTGTCGATCCTCTCTTTCGGAAGCCGTGGCGATCTGCTTTTCCTATCGCACACGATAACAACGTAGCCAACAGCTTGCTCAAGCCGCCGTGCCGTACATCCATCTGCCCGTCCTGCCAACACATCACACCTGTATCTAAAATTCCGAGCGCTCGTTTTCCGTCTGGAGCCATGTTGGGCGTTGACCTGCAGGATCTAACTTATTAGATCTCAACCCATCGGAATGCTCTCACATCTCCGCTTCCATAGACGAGGACCGTCTAATCCCTCGTCTCCCATACCCGACACCGGCAGTCCATGGGACGCCACGCCGCTCCAGCCAACCCAATTAGTCTCCGAAGATGGTGTCCCAGCTCCTGAGGTCCTCCCGCGATCAACTACCTCCGTCCCTTTCACCCATGGTCATGGGCAGCCGCCACCCCCGCCGTCGCAATCCGTCGCGCCTACGGCTCCTCTACATCAACAACATCTGCATCATCAAGCCCCGTTATTGCCTCCCACTGCCAGAGCCTCCTCTACCGACTCTGACAGATCGATGGACCCCGGGAGGTACGAACCGAAGCAGCGCGAAGAAGTGAGGCCCCTGCTACGATCTTCCTACAACGAGGAGTCGGGGTTCATTGGCGGCCTAGCGTTGGAGAACTATCGCCGAGAACAAGAGGCGCGGAGACCGGGCCCTCTAGATAGGACTACAGTTAATAAGTTTGATCATCTGTCGTTCAAGTCCTATTCCGGCTCAGCCAATGCCCCGCATCGTCCGCCTTCGACCGCTAGGCCCGCTAAGCCAATGTCCTCGTTCGTCGCCCCTGGCACTCTCACGAATAGTGTTTCGGCAGGAAGGCGACCTCCGGGTGCCAGAACCATAGCGGAGCCTCCAACGTCCCAAAGTCAAACGGCTGCCCAAGATCCTCCTAGGGGCAGGAAGAGCCTCCCTTTCCTGAAAAATCCGATGTCTACCTTATTGATGCGAAGGAAAACCAGCCAGAATATACCGGATCTCACGTTGCCGTTGCGTGGCGGTGCCGAGGAGCCTCCGTACGATCCTCGGATCAAGGGCACCCGAGTTCACGATTTCAGCGCTCCACGGCCAAGAAGAATCGTGTCAAGCAATGAACCAATTAGTTCGAGGGTCGAGGAGCCTTATCTAGATATTGCACCATCTGCTCAAGGATATAAACCACCTGTTGTGGAAGCCCCGCCGGTTCCTCCCAAGGATGAGAACTTCCAGTACACCCGAACATCGTCGACGCATTCTCGGGCGGTATCGGTAGGTGCCGTGTCCCCGCAAGGGCCACGGGACCCCGACAATCCCCAGCCTAGTCACAGACACAGAGGTGGTGGCGGAAATAGCCCGCGAAGGAAAACCTCTGTTCCCCCGTCGCTGATTCCGTTGTCTCGTGACTTATCGAGGGCATCCTTCAGAGACGTTGCTTCATCGGTACCTAGACATATGAAAAGCACATCCTCCAGGTTTAGTTTTGATATGGCTGGCGCGGCGCAGCAGGAGAGGCTTCTAGAAGAACGACACCGGCAGCGGCAACAAGATAAGAAGGCAGATGAATCCACCGGCCGGCGAGATTCCCGTTTTGATGACTTCGAAGAGGACGCATTTGACTATGACGCAATGGATTATGACGATGGTCTCGAGGAACGCATACCGGGTGTAAATGCCGACCTAGATGAGGAGGATTTTGGAGGTGCAGACGATCCTGACAATGATCAGGAGAATTTTGCAGGCTTTATTTTTCAGAGATCTACCCCTGTATCTGAACTGACCAGCCCTCAAAGCGTCGGAGTGTTTTCTACACCTAAGGACGCGAATGGCAATGCCGCCGGTTACACCACCTCTCACGAGACGTTAGGTATCTCCCAATTTTCGCACGTCGCCCCTGGCATTCCAGGCGAAGTTATGGGGGAGCTAGGAGAGCAGCTAGGCTCCACGGGCCTTGGTATCCAGGGACTTGAGACTGTCAACGAGATATCTAAACAGCTCTCGACTCGGCAACAACAGGAGGTGACAACACAAAGAGTCCTCGACAAGGATGACGAGCTCTACTTCAATGATGGGTTGATCCATGATTTTGTCGGGGAGGGAGACGGCTCGGCATTTGATGAGTCTATATTTGACCTTAATGATACGGATCAGTATGGGAGGCCGATCCCAGGCTTGTTCGCGAACGTGTTATCACAAAGACAGACCACCGAGGTGACAAAAAGGAGAGAATCCGACATAACCTCAAGGCTATCAGCACAATCGGACTTGTCTCATTCGACCGCCCACACCTCGCTTAGTGCTGGTCCGTTGTCTAAACCGCCAACATCCGAACCTGAAGAAGGGACAATAGCACGCTTAGAAGAGCGGCAGCCATCAGCTTCGGACATACAGGCCGCGGAGCGGGACCGTATAGCAGCATATCAGGCCGCTCTAGCGGCGGCGGCCCACCAAGCTGCCGCCTCTGGCAAGTTCCGGAGAGATTCCTCTCCGCCGCCGCCGGCTGAGTTGACGATCGCGCCGCTAACGATATCTGGGTCATCTCAACTGCATGCCCAGGCTCATGAACTCGATGATTATGAAATCGGCGATGGGCTATCTCTGGGGCTAGAGGACTACGAACTTGATGATGATGATATTATTGCCGAGGCGAACGCTAGCGCCCTCGCTAACGACTCTGACGGCTGGTATGGACAAGAATTCGGGTTTTACTCTGCTCCCGCGCCCGCCGGCCACCATAATACCAGCGTTCTGAGCGAGAAGAACCTGTACCAATATTCCCACGGTGGTTATTTCGGCCCGACTGGGGCGAATGGCGCTACTTTAGGTCGCGTTGTCTCACGTGAGCCGAACTTGACACCTATCACGGAACGTTCCGAGTATTCGAATCGGAATTCAATCATGAGCTTAGGTGTTCCCCAGAGCACGAATAACAATGCACCAGTACAAAGTCCGGGCCTGGCCCAATTAGTGATGATGGCCGAGGATGACAACATGTCCCTTTCGGCTCTGCTTCGCCTACGTTCCAAAGCATGGGGCGGCTCCCAGGCGTCGCTCGTAAGCTCGCGCGACGGGTCGCCTAGTGATAGAAACGGCACTACCAGCCCATGGGGACAAGACCAACTTGGTATTGCACACGGACGGAAGAACTCGGCCTTCTCCATCATCAGCCAGGACTCCGTAGGAGCGGGTAGCGGCGCAGGCAGCCCCACGCTTACCATGTCGATGAATGCGCCGAACAGCATCATTTCACCACTCCCCGTGTCGCTGAACCCCAACCCTCGCTCCACATCGCCTGCCAGTGCACCCGTCTTCTCTCCTCTGCAACCAACTGCGGGCTGCCCACCGGTGTTTGAGGACGAAGAGACGAGCCCTCTCGATAGAAGGAAGACCGAAGTGGGGGGTGCATGCACTGTAGCGTCGGGCACACTGTCCAGGCCCCCTGGCGGAGGCACGAGTCCAATGACGGGCATCACCTCCCAGAAAAAGCCGGGCATGGGTCACAGGCATAGGGGGAGTGCGGACAGCATCTCGTACTCAAGAGAGGAAGATAGCGGCGAGACGCGATGGGTCATGGAGCGTCGCCGCACTTCGGAGTCGGGGGAGGTCGAGGTCTTGGGCCGGGAAGTGGTCGATAGGGGACGGATCTAGTTGGTTCTGGTCTGTCTGCCCGATTTTGGTGCATTGGCAGCTCGCCTTTCGGCCCCCTGGGTTGGGGCGCTGGGATCAATGCCAAAGCGCGGGGTTTTCAATGTCTCGCGCCTAACCGGGTATCCTCTGGTCTGATGTTAGGGGAACTGGAGAGACGGCGGAAGTCGTATATGCTTCGTCTCGCTCGGGTACAAAAGATTAGCACCGTGTGGTGCTCTCAGACGAGCGAAGGCTACCGTGGGGCAGGCTGGCTCCCCCACCTTGTATATTTCAAATGCCCACGCAGGTGAGCGCGTTGTGCCTAGTATCTAATATCGGCTTGGTTTAGGCGTGGATAACGATGCTTGGAAACTGTGGTAGAGAAAACAACACTAATAGCGATCTATCCTCAGCGTATGTGCCTAAGTATGCACATCTTGTATATATTAGGGACGTGGACGCAGATAACCCAAGACCGTTGTGGGGTGGAATATCCATTTATGCAGGAAACAGAAATGCTGGCGCCGTAACATACCTCCGCTGGAGCGGAGACTATGTCGGTACCTCAGGGGCCCTACCTCGATATTCAATACCGTGAAGACAAGGTGCTAACCGCAGGGTCTGGTGGATTTGATAACGTCGCGTCCTTGCACTGCCATCGACCTCTACGTATCTATACACACCCAACACACCTTGGACTGTTCCTAGTCCCTCTAGACCGTAGCGAGGTAACAGAAAAGTGATAAAAAGAAGTAAAGTATAAGTATAACGACTATGCAAGGTTTTGATGAGTATATATATATATATATAAAACTTTTAATAATTATAAGTATATAGATAATTTTTAATAAAAATTATAACAATGTTAAAAGTAAATAAAATAAAATATTATTATTATATTTAAAAAAATAATTATAATATATAATTTCCTATTTAATTATAAAGTCTTTTTACTTAATTATACTTAAAGTTTCTCCTTATATTAGTTTTATATTAATTATCTTTACTAAAGTAAAATCTATACGATTAGCTGTTTAAATGTACTTAGATACTGATAAGCACCTATATGTATGCACGTTCTTTTCCGTAGCCTTCGAGAAGGTACTTATGTATCTACCTATACGCAAAAACGTAAGTAAGGGAGAAGCGCAGAGCGTAACGAAGGGCTTCAACATAGGTATACGAATCTATAGCCATTCTGACAATCATCATAAGATCTTTCCGTCTTGTCGCACAGCCCTCGCCTAGCCCAGCTATAGACGAGCGCCTCTGTCTTTCCTCCCCTCGCCCCTGGCGGACCGCTGTTGCCTACTACCAACTTAGGGGGAAGAAGGTATTCTTAATGTAGACCTGAAGCCCGCCCCCGGGCGCCTAAGATGCAACCCTCGATGCCGTCTTGCCGTTGGTACGTATCCTCCCTGGCCTCGTGAGATGGCGAGCCGGGAAAACAAGCGTATCCCCCCCCCCGCCGTGCTGTCGGGGTGCGCGCGCCGGGGTGGGGGAGGACCTGGGCTCATTTCGTAACAGCTGGGCATCGCAGTCTGCACGTGCGGCGATGGTTGAAAAGCCGAAGGCGGAAAGCGAGATCTCGTAAACACTCGAGCACGGTCAGGGACAGGGAGCAAAGCCATGTAAACCTGACCTAACCTGGCTTACCATCGTAAGCCAATCACCGACACCATGGTGGGCATGACTTGAGAGAGATTGCTTAATGCTTAATGATAATGGACGCTCATGCGGTGTGGCGAGTAGCTAAAAATGACCGGATGCGTTGCATCGGTCATGAATTGTCCGGCTCCAAAGACGGCGTCCTTCCCCGTTGTGGCAATCGGACGCCGAGAGAATGGAGACTTCACGAGATGACGGATGCTACCCTTCATCAAGCCTAACCCACCGCCGCATCTTAGTGAGGTATGGCTGCGCTTATTATCACCGAGCGCCACCCGGAATCGTGGGCTCCATAAAAGGGCGGCGGGGGACCTTCGTGTAGATAAAGATACAGATACAAGTTGCTCCGTGAGGGACGGAAAGTTGAGATCTCGTGTTCGGACAAAAACCGATCTCATCGACAGCGCCATGAAGGCCCGAATTGTCAAACTCGCCGCATCGGCTGGCGTTCTAGTCGCGATGGCCGGCAAGGTGCTGGCTGTCACGAGCGGCGAGTTCAGCATACTGAGCATTAACGTCGCCGGCCTACCGGACTTCCTCAATAACAACGAGGTCCCGGGGGATAAAGCCACAAACTCGAAGCTGATAGGCACCAAGTTTGCTCAGTACGACTATGCAATAATCCACGTACAAGAGGTACGCCGTTTCCCTCCCTCCGTCCCTCTCTCCGTCTCTACATCTCGATCCTCGAGTCGATGGGATGGGGACTTCCCCTCTGCTCTCCAGCGGGCTATGTAATAAATCATGAGACGACGACGACAATGCGACCGAGAAGCTATGGTTCTGCCTCGCATCCTTCCCTTTCCCCGTTAAACCGGGAGTAGAACAGAGAGATATCGTGGCGTGAAAGAAGGACGCTAAAACGTAAGATGCGAAAATGTCATTATAGGACTTCAACTACCACGCGCATATCTACTCGACGGACACGCACCCGTACCGCACCGCGACGTCGGGCGGTGTACCCTTCGGGTCCGGGCTCAACACGCTATCCCATTTCGACTGGATCGACTTCGAGCGCGTCAAGTGGGACACGTGTAGCAACGCCTCCGGTGCCGACTGCCTGACCCCCAAGGGGTACACCTTCATGCGTGCCAAGATCAGCGACGGTGTGTACGTCGACGTGTATAATCTGCACGCCGATGCCGGCACCGAGACCGCCGACAAAGCGGCGCGCGCAGCCAACCTCGCACAAGTTGCCGACGCCATCGACGCACGGAGCGCCGGCAATGCCGTGCTCGTGTTCGGAGACACCAACAGCCGCTACACACGCAGCGGTGACGGGATCCGCGTCTTCGCGGAGCAGAACGGGCTGACGGATGCCTGGATCGAGGTCGTGCGGGGTGGAAGGGTCCCCACGGAAGAGACGGTGTGCGCGAACCCGAGCACGACTAACGAGTGCGAGACCGTCGACAAGGTCCTATACCGCGCCAGCCCACTCCTCGACCTGCGGGCAGCGGGCTGGGCCTACGATAGCAGGCGTTTCCTCCAACCCGACGGTAACATCCTGTCAGACCACAACCCCGTCGCCGTCAACTTCACCTGGGCGACCGGGTCGGCACTGCAGCAGTCTGGCTTCTGGGGCGGGCCGCATGGCACCTGGTTCAGCGACGTGCCTGTACTCTCCGCCAAGGCTTCCCCCAAGGTCAAAGCCGTCGCGTTCCGGGGCGCGAAGCGGCTGGACAACGTCGGCCTCACGCTGGCGGACGGGACGGCTCTCGCGCACGGTGGTGGCGGCGGAGACGAAGCCCGGCTCACGCTGGCGACCGACACGGGCGAGTACTGGGCCCGCGCGGAGCTGTGCCAGGGGCAGAAGGACGGCCGCACCCGGAACTTCTACATCCGGGCGACGACGAGCACGGGACGGACCCTCGAAGCTGGGACGGCAACCAGCGACTGCGCGACGTTCGCGGCGCCCGCCGGCTGGGGAATCGTCGGCTACCTGGGCCAAGCGGGCGACGAGGTGGACCGACTGGCGTTCGTGTACGCGCCACAGTAGTAACGGGAGAAGGGGCCATAAGCGAGTAAGGAGGTGCAGCGGGCAGCGAGCCAAAAGCTGGGGTGGACGGCAACTCCTCATTGCTATATGCCATCTCGTCATCGCGTGACTCCGGACATGGTAAATGCATATACATATAAAAGTAATACGTATTTTTTTTTAGGACGCACGCATAGGCCTACGTGGAGCGAGAGAGACTAATAGTGGGACGGTTTTCTGAAATATTGACACCCCTTCTCCCAGCCTTATCCGGGGCGGGTTGATTAAGCCATGCTTATTCTGCCTACCGTTGTAGCCGCCTAAAGGGGAACGGGACGGGATGGGATGTAATATTACTGCCGGCTCTATGATATCTCCCGGCTTGAGTGTTAGGAGGGAGGGGGAGGGAAGGAGAGGGAGGATCGACGTTGCAAAATGCCCACAGGTCCCAGAGGATGTGACCAGGCTCACCCGTGCCCATCATGCTGTCTATCTAGCCTGTGTCCTCGACATATCCCGAACCCCCTTTGCGTGCCCGCATAGGCTCGCGTGGCTCCTGGGATGTATCTTGGCCTCGTGACAATACCGCGCCGGCACACCATACCCACGTAGTACCTAGGTTCTCGATGTGAGGGAGCAAGGGAAAGGGAAGCAATCAATCCTACATGCTAAATAGCTTCTGAGCTGAGCGGCTGCGAGGTATGTGGTATTAGATTATAGACGACACTCTCGTTCCCTTCGTTCCCTTTTCGACGCGGCAGACGGTGCTAGGTCCGAATCCGGCTCAGCTAATAAATACCGTGTCTCAAGCTTTCCCTCAAAAGTCGACAGCGTCTCGCTAGCATGTCTACAACGGACCAAGCTCCTCTTGTCCTACCGAGAGAGGAGACCAAGCCGGTCGTGTACACTTGGTATGTGCCTACGACTACGTGAGGAGACAGGTACATGTACGATGCATCTGGGATCAGATCATCCGAGCGTCGTGCGTCGCAAGACCCTAGGGCGATCGCCATCATCCCACTCGTTGGAGTTGCGTTCGTTAGAGCTCTGGTAATCTAGCTACGTCCCGTCTAGCCATCAAGCCAATAATGAGGCTAGCCATCATCCCCTTAGCCACCATAAGGGGAATGCCAGACAAACAGACACACACATACACACACACACACAGAGAGAGAGAGAGAGAGCTAGCTAATATCGAATCCCGCTGGAAAGGCCAAGGGCATATACCTAGGCATAGGCTATTGATTTATCTACCTCTTAGATAACCCTGGTCAGGCGGCGCTTGGGGCGTTGAGCGGTCAGCGGCTTGAACGAAGGCCGAGGCCAGCGGCCTATTCCCACTCCAACCTCCATATAATATTGTCGTTGTATATACCTGAGAGGGGGGTTTGCCTCTTGGGTGACGAGCAGAGGACTCAGTTCAGAAGTGCGGCCTGTGCCACATGGACGCCCACGAGCCTTGACGGATCTGACCCGCGAGACAATTTACCTATTGGTGCTGCCGAAACTTAATGAAGAGCTCTCTGCACCTCCCTCTAGTCACGGTCGCATCCACCCGTGGCAGACCTCGAGGGACGGGAAGCGCCGCGGCCCATGTATGTATGTATAAGCCGCGCCGGGCCTGACCAGTGGGGGCCAACCTGACGCCTGTCAAGAGCCGAACGCACTTGATAATTAGCGGTTCTACGAGGACTTCCCGGGCTGGAGCCGCGTTGGGGCTGAACCGTGTGGACCGTTGGCGCCTGAATAAGTCGTTAGGGGTGGGTTCATTACCAGTCTATACCTACCGAGGACTCGTCATTCGCCCAAGTTTCTCGTGTTGAGTACGTCGTACAGCCTGTGCAGTGTAATGGAAGAGTTTCTCGGCGAGGCGAGAAAGGATAGAGGACGGTAGAAGGGGTCACGGTAGCTAGCACGTGGTTTCGACGTTCCGATAAGGACAACCGCCATGGCCTCTCACGAGCCACCGAGAGACCGCATAGAAGTTACGCTGGTCCCTCGTGGCATGGCGGCTCGGAAGTAAGAATTGATCGATGGAAAACTCTTTAATGAGACGAGTACACAACTGCATACCCTTCGCCCCTTGTCGAAGGAGACTGAAGGCGAGTCCGTCGGTAACAGGTGTTGATGTGATTAGCCCAGGGCACGGGTGAGGGATACCGACAGCCTGGTTAGCCTTAGCCCCTGCGTCTCCCCTGAAATTTCCCTTCTAGCGCCCCTCGTGTGCGAGACCTGACCTACTACGCAGTAGTTTGGTGATTTAAAAGAAGAAGAAAAAGAAGGAAGAACAAACCCGCGGGCTACCTGCAGGCACCCTTGCAGGGTGACGATAATTCCTACATGCAATACCCTCATCAGCCAGCAGACTTAGCTATCTAGCACCACAGCACCGGTATCTGCACGCCGTTTCCCGGGACTGACAAACAAACCGCCGGCCGGCTTAGATGACAGGTTAGTTACATAGGGCCTTCTCGGGAAACCTCCCGATTCCAGACTGACGGGTACGAGGGAGGATGGCGAGGATGTCTGACTGGTATCCGACGTCATCCTATCCCCCATCACATGCAGGCCAGAGAGCATAGCGCGGTACAGGGGATACCAAGGCCGATTTGAGATGGTACCGACGAGGTAGCGACGGATCACTGTTCGCAAATGGGCCACGATGTCTGCTAAGACACTCGCCGTAGACACTCTACCATTGCCTGAGCTGTTGTTGGCTTTGGCACAGACCGCAATGTAGGTAGTAGGGCTAACCGGGTATCGGGGACTAAACGTATTGTTAGCAATAACAGGCTTCGTTTTGTAGTTGGGTGCAAGTCAAGAGCCCAATTGGGCGGAGATAGACCTCGTCTCGAGGCGGCGTCGAGCCTTCTTTTCCTCGCTCCGCCCTAATTTCCCTTCTAGACTACTACGTTTGTATGTAGTCCGCTTCCGGAATCCTTCCGGGATCGCTTTTCGACATCGGTCCTAGGCTATGCTACTATAGAGTTGGCAGTAGCTCCTTTTTATTCTAGTTGGGTTTGGCGCGGAGGATATGTGTACGTAGACGTTCTTATAGAGGCACACGTAGGGTCGACGCACTGACAGAGATGGGCTATTTTTACATGCGGAGGCGAGCTTGACGACGATGAATCCAAAGTGCTTCGCCGGATGTGCCTCAGAAGCGTCGAGACCTTGGATAATATCTTGCCTAGTCACAACCCCCTCCCACAGTCCGAGGACGGCAGCGGTGACACATCCACAACGCGTCGTGCCTCTCTTGCAGGGGGGCTTGACGGACTCCTGCGAAGCCCAACTCGCTCTCACCCCCAAAAGCCTTTGCTCGACCGTGAGAGCTTCGCCTGCAAGTTCTGGAAGCGGGGCTAGCAGCTCGAGTGGGGTTATTCTAATCTTGCAGCTCGTTGGATCGGCCCCTAGGTTTGCATTGACCCGGTGCAGGTATCACCCAAGAGGTTAGGTAGGTAGGTAATGAACCATGTCAAGGTGTTGTATGGAGGTATGTGAGGGTATGGATGTAATACATACCTACATACGTGTATGTGCATACCTTTGGGAATCATCGGACTCGATTGGACCCTTCCTGTCTCCTCCCACCGACGCTGGTCACTACTATACCGGCCACGAGTTCTGTTATACTGCACGCGGACCTGGCTGGAAACTTGCCCTTTCGACACTGTCGTGGCCAGTGCAACAACCGATAGACGTACACGTCTAAACCATAGTCTATAAGTAGACTTATAGATAGGCACTGCCTTCCAAGGCGGTAGCTATGTATGAGTAAGTGTGTACGTCTATCCTGGGATTCGCGATGCCACCAAGAGGCAGGGGGGGGGAGGAATCTCGGCTCTACTCCCCAGATTGGCATCCGAACGGGGCAACAGAGGTGGTAGCTCGTAATCACAATTTAATTCCTTTTTTTTTTTGCGCTTGCGATTCGTCCAATGCCTTTGCGTCTTGGCCCGAGGCGTCTGGCTGGTTCCTGCGTCGAGATGAACTGTTGGCCTAATGCATTCGTGTGATGACTTGCGAAATCCCGCAGTGTCGCTGCAAGACCAACAGCCTAGTTTGCCGGTTGACTTACACACATACACACGAGCATGTATTTTCCGTAGGCTAAGTGTGATAACTCGGCAAATATCCGCCTGATACCCTAAGAGTTAAGCTGTCACTGGTCAAATCTGCTACACGCACCTGCATTGGCATGCGATAACCCCCTACTCTCGTGCTTTTACGAACGTTTTCGAGTCGTGAGCTGGACTTTGCGTCTTTGCCGTTGGCTGGGCTCTGATGATTCGGCTATCCGGCGGTCGCTACACGCTACGGCGAAAAACACGTAGCTAATGTGCATGGCTCTGTAATCATACCCTTCAAGCAGAGTCCGCGTTGCGCGCCCGCAGGGTATTAGCAGTCGACGACAAACGCGTAGCATGAAAGCGATTGATATCGCTGATCGAGATCAAACTCGGGAAGCGGGTGAGCCGCCCGGCCTGCCACATAGGGATATGCCGTATGTGTGCACACATGCGTACGAACGTATGTATCTATATGTAAGTATATCTTGATCCATGAACCTTGTATTGTGTTATGATGCCGGAACAAGATACATTTTGGGCGACTCCTTGGACATGGTGGGCCTGGCGGGGGGGACTTCCCGGTCTCGCACATGTTGCGAAGAGCTTGGACGGGTGCGGTAGGTGAGTGACGCAGGCCTGCATCTCTCAGTGCGAAACTTGGCCACCTCTCGACAGGGCTCTAGCAGGGGGGGAAGGGGGTTCTTCGAGAGACCGTCCCCGCGCTGTCGCACTACGCATATATACAGACAGGCATGCATAGATCCCGACAGCGCCAACACGTTCTGGATACGGCACAACCACCGGCTGAGAGGTGAGATCCGAAGTTGCTTCCTTCTGTTCGTGTGGCATTGTGGCGACGACAATTCGTAAAGACGGCCAATGCCGACTGTCGGGAGTGGTGAGGATGCGTGATGCCATGGAGTGACCACGATCATCTAGTGCCTATCGAGGCCGTTGGTGGAGGACCCTTTAGGGAGGGGGGGGGGAGACGTTCTATTGGTAGAGCGGTTGGGATGGTTAGAATCCGATGCGGGCATGCGTGCCTAATGCCGCGAATGGCACCGGGGAAGAGTCCACCGTGCAGTAAGACGTTTCCATGTCCCTCTTGGCCGGTGCCTGAGGATCGTTAGGGAATACCAGAGCGCGGGATGGATTTCGTTACCGGGAGGAACGTAACAAATGCGTTGGCGAGTTGCAGATTATGGGTGCGGGTGACGAGTGTACGGTAGGGTGGGGATGGGGTCATGATGATGATGATGGTGGTGGTGGTAGTGGTGGTGGTGGTGGTGGTGGTGATGACGATGATGACGGGATAGTGGACGATCAAGAGGGACGTCCACGTTAGGTACCTATATGATAACAATCAGGTAGGTACCTGAGGTAGCTGCATTGGGCGGTGGTGTTCTGTACCTGGAGGTGTAGGCAGGTATGTACCTAGGTAGGTATGCAGGTAGGGCACCTTAGGTACCCGCCTGCCTTCATCCCCTAAGGTACCTGGTATGTATGTATGCATACCCTACTGTCGGGTTATGTAGGTACCTAGGTACTAAGACGGCAACGGTGCCAGCCACCTGAGATAAGGTTGCACCACAAACGTCCCTCTGCTGCTGCATATTCCCTCTGCGGCGCACATTATCCGCGTATGCACCTTAGGAGGCTCCCTCGATGTTCAATTGGCTCGTGCGTATGCATATATCGGTGAGAGGCGATGTGATATCGACCGAGGAGGAATAATCACGTCCAAGGGTATCCTGCTAGTAATGCTGTGTCACTCCCGCTACTACATTAAGCGGGCTATATCTCGCGATCACCGTTGACCCCGGACATACCTAGCAACCTACCCGATGCTTGCCTACACAGGTATGCCTCCCCGAAATGCCTACTGGCGATGGCTGCCAACTTGCCGTTGGAGATAATTCAAGCCCTCAAGGTAAGGATTCTTGTCCGTTTTCGACAGGTGCAATATGGGTTGGTATGGGGGAATCCGACGATCGGTATCGCCCTTGTATTGTTTAAATGTGCAGTGCGCGGCAGTGAGCCTACGAGTCGTTGCTCAGATCGTTGCTGACCCGCGCCTAGAGCCGAGTCTCGTTATCTCGAAGCCAGTTCAAGTACGTAAAGACAACGTATTTAAGAAATCTCCTGCATGGAACCGGGGCAAAGGGAAGAAGTCCGAACCAAGATCTATTCCTCCGCTGACAAGCCTCCAGAATCCGGTCTGGGTCTTCCCAGCGGGTTACCACCAGTTTGCCTTCTATCTTCCCAGCTTTCGTGTGTAAGGGGGGGAAACACCCGATTGTATGATTAGGTTACAGTGTGATTGTCTTCCAGATGTCACAACACCCCAGCCCTATCGCCTGACCGTCTTACCGGCTTATGCTATGCCAATACGCACTACTGAATTACGAAGAAAAACAAGGGAAGCCATCGATTCTTCCCGTAGGAAATAAGAACGAAATTGCATTTCTAGATTTATTTACCCTTGAAGTTAGATGGGGGGTAGTTCTGCACGTACTTCAAGGAATAATATATACCTAGCCCTAAAGAATATGACTCCATGAAATATTATAACCAAGGCTACCCTAAGGTCAACTTTGGCAATCTGTCGTGCAACTCATTACCTGTGCAGTCTACTGTTGCGAAGCACCATTGGGGCTGTTGAGACATGTCCACGTGAACAATACGTGTAGATCAACATAAGTCTCCCAAGGTACGGTGGGAATGGGTACGGGTGGGGTAATGTTGATGTTATCTAAGCTTTACTCGAAGAGATCATCGCGATAGTTAAGGTCTGACGCCCGTCTCCACGAGCGTCTAGCGGCCCTGCTTGATGCTATCGGTAGACTGGAGATATGTTGGGCGGCACGTGAGCCACTGCGATGAGCTAGGATAAACATCATCCATACCAATGACCTCACCTCAGGCGCTACCAATGGGCGGATACTTTGGTTGAGATCAGAGAACCACGACTTGCGTCTACGCACATAGTAGCCGCCCGGATGTAGGCAGCACACACACACGCGCGCAGATGAGGGTTCTTCCCATGCCACATGCGACAGGCGGTGGCTTGGCTTGCTTGCCGACGTTGCACAGTGGCTCTGCTGCTAATATCATGGCTTGCAGACGTCTCCGAGGAGAAGTTGGGTCGTGCAGCTATGGAGAGCAAGTGGCTTGCTTATTCGCTTATGAAATTGATACGTCCGAGTGCAGTACCCCGCAGGTAGTAGTAGTAGTACCTATGCATGTATCAATAAACCTGCTAGACTTCCAGTGCACATTACAACCTCTTGTATAGGTACCTACCTAAGGTAGGTATGTACTTAGGAAATACGCGTCGGAAAGAGGTACCTACCCAATGCCCTACCTATAGATCAATAGGTTACTTAATAAAGGATAGGTTCGATTCCTAACAGCGCTACTTGGTAGTCTTCGTTATTTAGCTCATCTCCCACCTAAGTACCTGCCTGGGTATGTATCTAGGTACCTTACTAGTATGTATATATACGTATTATGCATGGACGATGTTGTAGTAGGAATCGACCGGAGAAGCCTGCAAGCGTTACCCCTGCATTACAATGCACTAGCGGTATTCTAGGATTTCATACTTCTAGGTGAGGTCGCTAGTGGATGTACCTCGCTACATGCATACTGCATGGAGCGCGTGCACCATACTATAGCAGTTGCTGCATTAGGTACATGTTAGGTACATACATGCATGCATAGGTACCTGGTAGATACATATGTATCGAGGTACCCGGGGGAGGAGATCGGCATCCAATGCCTTCAACCCGCCTATAGGGACAACATATGTGTGCCTGGCGGTCTACTGCTGGGCGTCCATTACCTGACAGCTGGGTGTCCCACGACCGAGGCGCATACATAAAAAGAGGGAATGGACCGGCCCGGATAATGCCCGACTGCAGTCCAACCATCGTTACGGGTTTCGTGGTAGCTCTAGCTAGGTACCTAGTCCTGAACACGCCCTCCCCCCCTATCAATAGATATCTACTACTTGCCTCCTGTGCCTGCGTTTGACTGCTTGTACATGGATAGAAACCTAGTAAGGTGTGGGGATAAGCGTAAATGCCCATAGCATAGTACGTACGCTAACCTAGCTTAACACGTCCAAGTGTAAATAGATAAGCATAGACTATACATAATGATTATATGTAAATAATTTCCCTTATTGGTTTTTGGGGAGGGGGGGGGGGTTTTAAACCTTCTCTATTAATGATATAATAATTATATATATAATATAAAAATATTTTAATAGTTATAATTATTATTATATTACTAGTAAAATTTACTTATTATATCTTTATATATATATGTTTCTATATTTAGATAAATAGATAAATATTATATTTATTATGTTTAATTTCTATTAAGCATAGTTGCATGGGAGCCAGCGAAGGCTGCTGACTGGCCAGGTCTAATAACGTAGATAATAAGATCATACTCAGTAGTCGACAACAGGGTCCGCCAAGTCTGCAAGCCTGCAGGGGGGGTGCCCTTCGGTAGGGATGGCATCTTCTCTTCCCACTCTCCTACGTCCTCTCTCTCCCTCTCTTGGGTCTCCCCGTAGCGCTCCTCTTTTGGCCTCCCTGCCGCAACGACCTCGCGGCCACTCATTACTTCACACGCTACATACCTCTTTACCACACTTTGCCTGACCTACCCGCCTCCCATACCTTGAGGTACCATACTCGACCCATCCGTGTTCACTGTTTCGTCGTCCTACGCTTCTTCCCTCTCGCACCCACACACTTGCACTTACACACCCACCCGTCGTCCCGCGTCCGCAGGCTTCTCTGGTTTCGACTTTGCGAGTCATCTATCTTGCCGCAGCAGCACGGGGACTCGAACCCAGATACTATACAGGTCTGAGAGTACAATACAACATCTACACCCCCGTACCTTGGTATCCGTTCGATCTTTTATCTCTCTTCTTCTCTTCCGCCTCCCCACCACCAGTGTCAGTTCTCGTGAGATACGTACGCGGCGCCTCCCCCCGCAATCAACTAGACAAGATAGGCCGTCAAGTCTAGTAACTGTCGAATTCTATCCTGTGTGCTGAGAACCCAGGAATACGGCGAAATTCCTAGCTAGGCGAGCACATCGTTCAGGGTACCTTACACCCAGCTAATCCGATCTCGAGACTTGAGACTGGAGGGATCGGTTTGACGTTACCATTACACTTCTGGTCCCTTCTGCTACCCCCAAGAGAGAGAGTGTGTGTGTGCGTGGCCAAGGTACTTTAATCATTGTCAAAAGTGCGTTCCCGACCTTGTTTTCTTCCGCACGCTAGCCAGGTATTACGGAAAGGTGAATTGCGATTTTCTTTTTTGGAATTTCCGCCCCCGTCATCATCCCGAATATTTATATCCGCGAGTGGCATGGCCTTCGATCTACGAAAAGGGTCAGGGCGCATCGGTCTTCCGTTTGTCGGGTTGCCGCATCCTCGCTCGCGAGCTTCGCATACCTGCATGCTTAATTCCCTCCCGACTTGTTCTCTCGCTAGGTGGGACAGAGCGAAAGGATCTTCCCTACTCTGGCATGCAACCAACTCGATGGAAGAGGGCTTCACTAGAGGGGAATAGTGCCTGAAACTCTACGTGAAGCGCATATCCTGAAAAGGGTTAGCAGAGTCTCCAGAAGCTCGACATTCCTGGCTTGGACCCCTTCCGCCCTGAATCCTATCACCCATTTTCTTCCCTCCCTTCATTCCATTCCATCTCATCTTAGGGTTGCCAACTTTGTGACGATTACAAACAACGCGATCGCGTATTCTATGCTAACATTTCGCACTTCCGCAGAAAATCGTTCATCCCCCCCTCTATATTGTCTACTTGGGCACGAGCCGCTTTTCTCTCTCAAATTACCTCGGCCTAAACCTGGACTTCCTAGGACACGCTTATAGTGTGCCGTATTTTTATGTTATCGGAGACCTGTTGAAACCGCCTCGACCCTTCAAGAGAGCCTGGCTGACGAAATAGTCAACGAAAGGGTACCCGTATTCTGGGGAGCTTGGGTGTCTCCTAAATTCACAGCTGTTGCGAAAGTAACAGCAGTACTGTGCCCTAATGGTTCTCTACGGTTCGGCTCTACGGCAATCATGATGCTGGACGATCATCCTATGCGAGCGAGCCTACAAGTAGCTCCTCTCACCATTAACAAGCATCGGTTTGAAAATACGACGGATGACGGGCAAGATGGGCAAGATGCAAGGCCGATGACATCAACCCGCTCATATTCTCAATCGCAAATCACACCGCCGGCAACCCCAAATGACTCCCGCGAAGAACCGGCTCCTCACCCGCCACCATCAAACCCCATCTTTCACAATTTCTTACGAGCCTGCTTCCCGTTCCATCCGACATATCCGACTACCGACTCGACCATTACTCTGCCGTTGAACGAGGGGGATGTGGTCTTGGTTCACTCGATCCATACCAATGGATGGGCCGATGGGACTTTACTGATGTCCGGAGCGAGGGGATGGCTTCCAACTAATTATTGCGGAGCCTACGATCCAGAGGAGATGAGGAACTTACTGAAGGCGCTCCTGAATTTTTGGGACTTGCTGAAAAGCTCGGCGATCAACGACCGAGATATCTTCGGCAATCAAGAGTTCATGAAGGGGATCATCGCAGGCGTACGCTATTTACTAGTAAGCACGATCCGGGATCAGATGAGTCGCGTGCAAGCGTCTATCTGTGGTGGCTGACGAAACTCGTAGGAACGCACGCGTTGCCTGACCCGGGAGTCACCTACAATCCAGGGAAGCGAAACACTGCGCCGGGGCCGGAAGTCATTGCTCTCTGAGCTCTCAACGCTAGTCAAGATCGCGAAACGATTACAAGAGACGTTGAAGGAACCTCTGCAATCTGGCAACGACGTCAACGACATCATCGATGAGATGGTTCTCAGAGCATTCAAAATTGTGGTCAAAGGCGTTCGGTTCCTTGACCTGGTTGAGGAGGATAGGCAGCTCCGGGCACCTGAAGTAACGGTGATGGCAACGGTTGTCGAGGAGTCATCCGTTCCACCAACACCTCCCTCCGAAGAGTCTGCCGCGTTCCAGAACAACCGGCACAGCGATGCTGCAACTCCCCGAGAAGGCCTCGAAAAGGTTGGCGCGAACAGCTTGACATCGCTGGCAGTAGAGGGCACCCAAGCGAGCGGGTCCACCAACACCCGTTTGTCAGTTGTTTACTCCTCTGCTTCCACGGCAAGGAAACGGATGTCTCAGGTCAGACCATCGCACGGAAATCGGTTATCGGCCACTATATCACACAGGGTGTCTCTAGCCGGCCCTTCCCCCTCGTCCCACTCTCAGAAGCTTGTTTCGGAACGACTTAACACTTGCCATGATATGTTTCTGTCGCACCTTGGATCCTTTATTGGGAGGTTACACGTCCAATCCCAATCGCGGCCAGAATTAGCCCTAGCCATCAAACACTCAGTCGTCTCCGGCGGGCATCTTTTCGCAGTGATTGATGCGATTTGCGACCACAACACATCGGTCTCGGAGATGCTGGGACAGCCGCGTGTAGCCATGTACGACCGCATACGGGATCTGGTCTACTTGGCACGCGAAGTGTTGGGCAACAGAGGCCCAGATGGCGAGGATGTCATTGTGCCGCAGGATAATAGCCGGCTCCTCCTTGCGGCAACCGGCTGTGTTAAGGCGGCCGGTGAATGTGTCGCCAAAACCAAGTGGGTTCTCGAGCGGATAGGCGATTTTGAATTCGAAGTCGAGAGTGGGCACTTGGGTATCGATCTGGGCGTATTTGAGACCGTTTCACAGACCCGGCCGCAAACTCCAGCCGGTTCAAGTATCGCAGACTCGAAAGACTCGGAAGCGTCACCAGCACCTGTACATCCGGCCCACCAACCCCTGGATAAACCTCTCCCAGAGGTCCCTGTTGGTGATTCGGTGCATAGGCGACAAGATTCTGGCAATGTGTCACCGCCCGCTTCCCGACCGCAGTCCATGGCCACTGACGATGCTGCGTCAAGCATGGCATCTTCCGTGTCATCTATTCGACCCTCGCTACCCGCGTTGCCGAAACTGACTACGTCTCTGCTGCCAAACGAGCCGTACAGCCCCGCCACGGAAGCTCTCCACGATAGCGAATATCACAGCTCCTTCCGCTCCGACACTGGCACTGCTTCGAGCTCGGGCAGTAACAACACCTATCTCAGCCGAGATTCGGAGGCTAGCATGGTATCCGACACTTCTCGCGCCACTACTCCCGACATTACTGTTGCCCCCAAAACCCAGCCGTCAATGTCGGAGCTGAGTGTGGCTGGGAGCTCTAGCGTGGGCGAGGAGGTTGATGAGCTCGAGTCGAAGTTGTTGGAGAAGACCTTTGCGCATGAGCTAATGTTCAACAAGGAAGGACAGGTCACTGGTGGCTCCCTGCCGGCGTTAGTTGAACGTCTCACGACTCACGAAGCAACACCAGATGCTATGTTTGTATCCGCCTTTTATCTCACCTTCCGCCTGTTTTGCACACCTGTAAAGTTGGTGGAAACGCTGATAGAGCGGTTTGACTACGTGGGAGAAGCTCCCAGCACGGCAAATCCTGTGAGGTTGCGTGTCTACAATGTATTGAAAGGGTGGCTGGAGTCGCATTGGCGGGATTCCGCAGACCGCGAAGCGCTTCCCCTCATTCAGAACTTCGCCGAGTTCAAGCTTGGTTCACTCCTCCCTTCGGCGGGAAAACGTATCACAGAGCTTACGGAACGGGTCTCTTCCACAGACGGGTCGTTGGTACCACGTTTGGTTTCTTCGATGGGGAAGACGAGCACCTCGATCTCTCAGTATGTCCCCGCCGATACGCCAATGCCCAATCCGGTTCTCTCTAAGAGCCAGCAGGGCTTACTCAATAACTGGAAGTTGGGAGGCACCTGTCCCTCGTTTATGGATTTCGAACCTCTTGAGATTGCCCGCCAGCTAACCCTAAAACAAATGAACATCTTCTGCTCGATTCTCCCCGAGGAGCTGCTAGGCTCGCAGTGGATGAAGAAGAATGGTGCATCCTCTCCCAATGTCAAGACGATGTCCGGGTTTTCCACCGACCTCTCCAACCTCGTAGCGGACACCATTCTCCAACAACCGGAGGTGAAGAAGCGCGCTATTGTCATCAAGCAGTGGATCAAGATTGCTCACCAGTGTCTTGAACTCAACAACTACGATGGCCTTATGTCCATCGTATGCAGTCTCAATAACTCAATTATAAGCCGCCTACGGAAGACGTGGGATCTCGTAAGCCCAAGACGGCGCGAGATGTTGAAGTCTTTACAAGCTATTGTCGAGCCTGCCAACAACAACAAAGTTCTACGAGCTCGCCTGCAGGGCCATGTCCCCCCTTGTTTACCGTTCTTGGGAATGTTTTTGACCGACCTCACTTTTGTTGATATTGGCAATCCGGCGACAAAACAACTACCTGGGGCCGGCCCGGCGGATGAGGACTTGACAGTGATAAACTTTGACAAGCACACTCGGACCGCTAAGATCATAGGGGACCTTCAGCGGTTCCAGATCCCTTATCGACTTACCGAGATCTCGGACATGCAGGAATGGATTCAGGCTCAAATCACGAGAGTGAAGGAGTCCGACCAAGGCAATGTCCAAGTGAGCTACTATCGAAAGAGCTTACTGCTCGAGCCCCGAGAAAATGTCTTGAAGACCCCCATTGACGGTCCGTCGGCGACCACCCCATCTGGGCAGAAGGCCGATCTATTCGGCTGGATCTCGAGAGATCGCCACAATAATAGCAACCCTACTGCTATCACTACGTAAGAAACACGTGCCCAGAATGCGCGTCTTCTACGTGAACTATCTCCAAAATTTTTTCTCCCCCCCCCCCCCCCCCCAACCGTCACATCCTCTTACAATCGACCTTTTGGTCGACACACCCCACAGTAACTAACTTGTCATTTTCCATCACATCTATTGATACCCCTGTCGTTTGTCGTTCTATTTATTCACCTCGATTATGAAGTATTTGGGATCTGCCGGCCCACCAGTGTTGTTCCTTGGAGGTATCCGCATCGTCGGATGCTGGCGTTCACGGTCAGGGGAGGGGAAAACGACCGGACGGGGATGGTCCGTCAAAATATGTTACTTGGCCACGTAAACATTTCGCGGTTGAGGATCACGCGCGATGGTCTTGCGAGTTATACCGCCGCAAGTGTTTCCCTTGCAAAGAGGAGGGTCGGTATGTGTGCGGAAAATTCATGAGGATATTAGGAAAAACAAAAGGGTCCTGGTAATGGATGTTGTACACTCATCGAGAATAAATGAGGAGTACGGCAGAATTATCCATTTGGCGATGCGGTATGGATAGATGATACTTAACTGTACCCTGCTACACGGGACCAGAGAGAAGCTGTACCCTAGTATCTCACGCGAGAAGGAATTGTGGCTGGGTAATTAAGCACTCAGGCCCGCGGTGGCATCCATCTATTCAGGGACCCCGAAACAAAACCATGTCCATGGCTTGAACTGGGACGGCGGCCGGCGCCTCGCCGATTCGTACTGCGGGATTCCTGCGCCTTTGATCCCGTTCCCCGATCATGCGGGCGACCCCCTTTAGTCGGATTCACACACTGTCGATACATAAATCTCAATAAGAAAACCATTTGCTCGTTTGCCAACCGTCTTGTATGCTGTATGTGTTCTTGTGGCTACACTATCTCTTGCGTCGTCACCCTGGCAACCCTCCGCCTATGCGAAAAGAAAAAGAAGCTTTCTGCTAGAGTGTCGTCGAGTGCTCGATAGAGTAGATATTAGTCTACATCTATAGGGGACACATATGGAGGGATGAGCGGCTTGTTGGGGAAATACCCGCTTCCTTCTTCCCCCACGCAGCAGGATGCGTCGAGGCTCAAGCTATCTCAATCCCACCTCCGGGGCTCCTTCAATACAAACCCTCCTCTCTCGACCGTGACGTTAACCTCCGACACGTTGCGAAGGTCTTAGGGGGCCGGTGGCTAACGTTAAGTGCACGGACACGGGAGAGCCGCGACGGGATACACGGTGCTGGCAGTAGACGGAGCCGACCCGAGGGGTAGGAGGGCGGGGATAGTAGATGGTCGATTAGTGATGCGCATACCGTACAGCCGATCTGTCAACACCGTAGCCGTGTCCACGGCGCCGTAGGGGGAGGCGAGGCGGCGGAGACCGCCCGGTGCGGGCTAGAAAGGAAGGGCATACCTTACCCAGCGGGTATACCTAGTGTCGCGCCTTTCTCTTCTTAGCACGACATGATTATCTGAGGTGCTCGCTGCGTCCGCTTCGTTCGATTTCACCCGCGTCCGTGTCAATATCCGGCATAGTAGCTACCTATGCGGGAGAAACGCATCCGGAGGCTCGGCAGAGTTGCCAGTTCGGGACGGTCTAAGGATGTTCGATATCGTTACTACCATGCTGGGCGGCGACGCCGGCGGTGCAGGCTTGCCTCGGCATGCGCAGCGCGTCTTCCTTGCCAGGCGGAAGACTCGATGTACTCTAATGTTGGTAGAGCTGGCCAGTCGGCCTGGTCAGCGCCGGCCCTGTCGTGGGCTCAGAGGGATGGAGGATAGGGGTTGCATGCAGTTATGCGACGGCTGCAGATGGTATAGTAAATATTAGGGGGCAAATGCTTCAGAGCAATAGTAGTTATTAGGTTATCTCACCTACAATATATAGAGCATGTCATGTCGCGTAATAGATGCTACTCGCAACGACGGTAATAACCACGACGACGGTAGGATTGGTGAGACGGATCAGTATATCAAGGAGAGAGCGGCACGGTATACAGCGTATCCTCTCCTCTGTCGAATTACTCACCGAGCATAGCGAGAGTGGTGAGCGAGAGCGGCCCCAACGAGGGTGTGGGCAGGTCTGGGGGGTTAACCGAGGCTTACCGAGTATTCGGGTTATGAAGCTGTCGCGGGTGGTGGCTTGCTGGTGTGGGTGCATGACGGATACGAAGCAGACCAGACGTAGCCGGTTTTTCCTCTTCCTTTTTTCTGGTAGAGGCGAGCTGTGTCAAGAAGCTCGTGGTGCTGGATTGCATGGTGCGTGCGTGTTCGGACGAGGCGGACGCGTGGTTGAGCCGCTGACTTGGTCCACGACAGGATGTAACCTTACGCGGGGCGACGATACGACCTCGTCCAGGACCAGCCGATTGGTCTTATGCTTACCTTTCGGTACCTATATGTACATAAGAGATTGTATATGTGCATAGGGAATACGGACGGCTACGGGCTGCGCCTGTGCGGATACGACAACAGTCACAGCGTAGCAGAGCGTAGCAGGTAAAGGGGCCGTATAGGGTTGGGGAATGGGGATGGAGACAAAGGAGTGCCGTTTAGGTGCCCAACCAAAGCCCATTTCATCGATCGATGGACGGACGGGTGGTGAGCAAGCGTCGGAGATACGCGCCCGCAACCGGCCGTCTTCTTCCATTCGGAGACAGGGAATGGGCAGGACGGACTAGACTCCAGACTCCAGACTCCAGATTCTCGAGCAAGAGAGACGAGACAGATTCGTCAATCCTGTCAAGGGTTGGGCCGGTAGATAACCGAGCCTATGCCATTCGTCGCGTCGTCCCTCCTCCGCCTGCCACCCCGGCGGCTCCCAGCTCCGAGGTCGAGCAGCATCCTGCACCATGAACCCAGCCCGCTGGGACGGACGGCGTACACGAGGTGCATCGTAGCACTCAGCTAGCCTCTCCGGCTGACGGCGGCGAAATGTGGCGTCCCTCGCTCTCGAGACTGCCAAAGGCGTCCGCGACCTGGGAGGGGGGGGCGGGGCGGTTATCGGCGACTCGATCCCGTGAGCGAAATGAGACATGTGGACGGCCGAAAGGGAGCCCTGAGCAACGTTACATATCGTATCAGGCGCCGGCCAGGCGCAGATCTATTGCACATCACCTACGATTCCCTCTTGGGTCGGTTCGGTGGCCTATTAGGAGGTGTGTAGGAGAGGTAATGGGATGGATGTGTGTAAGAGGTACGGGAGGGAGGTGTGTGTGCCAGGTACCTGGGGTGAGCAGTAGAGTAGGAATAAGGAGGATCCGAAGTACAGACAGGGACGTGCCGATATTACCATGTACCAATAAGGCGATGTCGATGCTGACCCTCGCCAAGGCGCCGCAGGGTACTGCAGGTAAGTACTTGGATATACTTGACACACCTGACAACAGGTACAGCGAGAGAGCGAGAGAGGGAGTAAGAGAAAGGGAGAGGGTGAGAGACACGAGTGAAAAGGCGCGAGAGGCGGAGGCGGAGGCGGAGGCGGAGGGTGAATGAAGGTGGAGAGATAAGAGAGATTAGAATAGAGATGGAGATAGAGTGAGAGAAAAGAGCGAGACACAATCTTGGAGCTTCCTACCCCGGACAAGCCACATTCCCCACATCAGTCCCCACATCAGCCAATCGTGGCCGCCTGAGGGCCGTGGAGGCGGGTCTTCCTCGTGACCTTGGACGCGCTCTGGCCAATCAGAGAGGGCCTAGTTTCCCCATTCGGGCCGCCTGTTATCTGCCCTCTTATCGGCGCCTGATCCCTGTCTCGAGGTGGTATCGAGAGGCCTGGGTCGGGGGTAGCACGAAGTCCCTCGACGGGAGGAACGAGCACGCCGAACAGTGTACTCGTAAAAAGGAGCAGGAAAATTTTTTTTTGATGATGAGAATACTGATAAAATACAACAATGATGATAACAAAGAAATACGCGGAGGGAGAAAACCCGCTCCCCAAAGGTGCCTTTCGTTGCACCTAGGCAGGTATATGCTCCTTCCATTCTGTCAGCACTTGCGTATTATCTAAGACATGTCAGGGTTTGATAGCCAGGCCTCACTGTCTCTCTGATTTCTCCCGACACGGATGGAAATGTACGTAGTAAACAGAGAGAAGGGAAAAGGAGAGGAGGCGAGAGGAGGGGAGAGAGGACTCCAGGCATAGCACACAAATCGTGGGTTTCTATTTCGGTCTCTCTCCTCGCGCCAGGCCCAGATAACACGAGGTGTGCTGCCGATACCCAGCAAGAGAGGAGAGACAGTACCATGCCATTCCACCACCCAGAGGCCAGGAACATCTCGACGCAGCCTGCGAAGGATCGTATCCACTAGCTGGGTCAGAACCCGCCTAGCGCGCTTCCGACGCCCCTCCCGAATCCCCAGAAACCCGCTGTTGGTGGAGCGGCATCCTGGGCGGGCCAGCCACCTCCTCCATACGCACGCACAAGCGACGGAGTCGGCACATGGCACGTACCATGGCCAGGTTAGCCGTGCGTGCGAGATTCCTTTCCGCTAGATAGGTAGGGTAGGCAACGGTAATCTGCCTGGAAGAGGTCTACCTGGCCAGGTTTGGCCAGGATGGACGGGAATGGTCAGGTTATCGGAACGAGGCGTTGTCACGTAACCACTGTGGGAAGAAACAATGAAATGGGAGCGCAGCTGACTCTTCCCGTCTTTCCCAATGTCCCCTCTCTCCCTCTCGCCTTTCCACCTTGGCTATCCGGTCGCGTCACCGTACTATGCCATGCTCTTGGAATTGAAGGTCCTACAGCCAAACACCTAACATACACTCATCATATGTAAGCGCATGCCGCGCGGGCAAATGTGCCATGCCATCGCATCCATGCCATGTTCTCTTCATTCTCTCCCCTAGCCGACTTGGTCAATGCATACACGTAGATACAGATGTAAATAGCAACCCAGCTAAGGCGGGCTCTTTTTTTTTTTTTTTTCCCCTTTTCAGTGAGTGGCTGGTATGGGATGTTCCACGCCCGCCCACATCGTCAACAGTCAATACCGAACATGCACACAAACCCACCACAAACACAACTCACCCACCCACACACCCACACCGGTATGAATGCACACACACACACACACACCGCAAACTGGAGTTGGCGAGAGTTGCATGTGTAGCAGGCCGGGCCGGTTGTGGCCTACCACGCTTAAAGGCAGGAGAGAGGGCACCTATGCAGGTATGCGCATATTTTTACAGGGAGTAGTAGCAATATATATATAGGTATATAGTAGTGAGGGCATTCGCGTATGGGATTATTACATACATGCATCAATGGGATGTGCGTATGTCGATAATATATGGCCCCTCCCTTGCTTCCTTTCCCGCCTCCGCCTGGCACCATTGTCTTGCACAAGATAGCAACTATATACATATACAGAGCAAAATATGTCCAGGTCATTGTGTGCATTTGTGTCCTGAAATATATCCCGAGATATACGTACCATTCAAGGGCAATCAAGAAGGATGCGTGCCCACAGTATTCAAGGCAGGCATGTAACGTCCATGTAATTGAATGGAAGGATACCTACATGCCTCCCTCCAGGGCATCCAGGGGGGGGCCATGTACCCGTACCGCACCTATGAATGTAATGTGAATATATCACGTAGTCAATGTATATGCATCTATACACAAACAATGAATGCATCCCCGTCCCGTAATGGCATCTCACCACAAACACACCAACACCCTCCCAGCACCTGGTCGATGGATCGAAACCCTCAGCGACCCAAGATTATCTTACTAAGGCTAAGTAGGCGGCGACGTACCATAGTACAGGGATTCTGGGATTCTCTCTTTTTTTTCTTTCTTTTTTTCTTTCTTTTTTTTCTTCCTTCCTTTCGGTAATAATAGGTATTTATATTTCATGGCCCAGTTCGCTCCGGGACCACACCTCGCCTGTCTTGTTGCCTCGCTTCTCCCACCACGCTTCCCGTCTAACAACAAGAGGTCGGGTTAATTTAGACGTGACGGCGATCGACTAAGGTTGGTGCCTATTTCTTATACCCCCCCGGGATTGGGCCTCGCCATGTTGCTTGTCGAGTCGTATTTCCCTTCGCCGATCGACAGCTAGGGGCACTCTGGCTTGCTGTCCATTGTTACCGCTATACTCTCAGTGGCGTTCACTTCCGTTATATTTCTCTTCTTTCCATGCCGGCTGCTATTGTATTTCTCGTGGCGGTCAACCCAGGCTGACACTTCCCACCTCTAGGTCTGCTCCGAGGAGCTGGATTCTATTATACATACTTTACATGTCAAATAGCCAGCCATATCCATTGTCCGAATCTCAACCTAGCTGAGTGATTTACCAGCCAGCCTCCAGAAAATGGCGGAATCCGTAGACACGCCAGTAGCGACGGACGCGCACGTAACGCGCCCGGAGGGCTGGATTTACCGAGGTGTCAAGGTCGGCGGGAGGGAGCTCTGGTATGCGTCGCCGAAGATCCAGCTACTGATGGTGGCCCTGGTGTGTTTCCTGTGTCCCGGCATGTACAATGCGCTCGGCGGTCTCGGTGGTGCTGGTCAGGTCGACCCTACCGTCCAGGACCACGCCTCGACCGCGCTCTACTCTGTCTTCGCCGTCGTCGCCTTCTTCTCCGGTTCCTTCGCCAACAAGCTCGGCGTCAAGACCACACTGTCCTTCGGCGGCCTCGGCTACTGCATTTACGCTGCTAGCTTTCTGTGCTACAACCACACCCAGAATGTCGGCTTCGTCGTCTTTGCCGGCGCCTTCCTCGGTCTCTGCGCCGGCATGCTCTGGACCGCCCAAGGCGCCATCATGATGTCCTACCCCCCCGAGCAGTCCAAGGGCCGCTATATCAGTTGGTTCTGGATCATCTTCAACCTCGGCGCCGTCATCGGCAGCTTGATCCCCCTCGGCCAGAACATCAACAACACTGGCGGCACCGTCACCGACGGCACCTATGTCGGATTCATCGTCCTCATGTTGGTTGGCGCCGCTCTGGCCGTGCTTCTCGTCAATGCCGACAAGGTCATCCGAGAGGACGGCTCGAAGGTTATCGTGATGAAGAACCCCACCTGGCAGAGTGAGTTTATCGGGCTGTGGGAATGCATCTCTCTTAGCCCCTGGGTCATCGCGCTGTTCCCCATGTTCTTCGCCTCCAACATCTTCTACACCTACCAGCAGAACGGAGTCAACGGTGCCCACTTCAACGTCCGCACCCGTTCGCTGAACAACCTGCTCTACTGGCTCTCGCAAATTTTCGGCGCCGTCATCTTTGGATATGCCCTCGACTACCCCAAGATTCGCCGGTCTATGCGTGCCAAGATCTCGTTTGTCGCCTTATTCTCCCTCACCTTCATCATCTGGGGAGGCGGCTACGAATGGCAGCGACAGCAGGTCTCGCGCGAGGTCACTACCACGGACGAATACACCCCTCAAAGGGTCGACTGGACCGGGTCCAACTTCATCGGGCCTATGTTCCTGTACATATTCTACGGCATGTACGATGCTATCTGGCAGACTTGCATTTACTGGTAGGTTTTTCGTGGTTCCGCAGGAATACGGCATGGGCTGACTGTGTGGATCGCTAGGTACATGGGCGCTCTGTCCAACTCGGGGCGGAAGACGGCCAACATGGCTGGTTTCTACAAGGGCCTCCAGTCTGCTGGCGCCGCTATCTTCTGGCGCTTGGATGGTCTGCACACCGAATTCAGCACCTTGTTCGCTGCTACGGTAAGCCGCGTCGCGCCGCGCCCTATCCTCTTCGGCAACGTTGCCCCTATTCGCTAACCGTAACGATTCTAGTGGGGCGTTTGCGCCGCATCTTTGCTCATCGCGGCTCCGATCATCTTCCTCAAGATCGAGGATACGACCGACATCGAGACAGACCTAAAATTCAGCGACGAGACCGCCGATGACGTCAAAGCCGCCAACACGTTGCCCGAAGGGAAAGAAGTTGTCTAGACATACTTTTGTTTTCCCTCGAGACGAGTATAGTTATCGTGCTTGATTATACTTGTAGTCGATTATAAGTTACACGGGTTCGGGAGGGGGGTTAAAGGGGGGGAACCCTAAAGTGGCTGAGTTATCGGACCAGCTAAGGTAATGCGAAGTTACGAGTAGGTGATGGACTCTGAATGTACATATATATACCCCCCACGTCTACACCGCGTCTTGTTATACCCTTGATGAATACATGCACACACTCAGCTTTGAGGCAACCATTGATCAAATTGCCTTAAGCTACGGGTCTAAAGCTGATCTTGGCGTTGACTAGACTCTGGATGATCCCGACACAACGCCGTGCCGCCTAACCTGATACCGCGGTGCTACGTAGGATGTGTGGCGTCTGATGTGAGATGTGTATATGAACCGATCAGCAATTCTCCGAGGGTCATACGCGATTAGGGATCTCGTGGCCCGTAATATGCCGTCGTGCGGCTGAATAGTTCACGCAGCGCCGCCTAACAGGTACGACTTTACGATTCCGGGGACAGGCGTAGGGGGCCGGATCCCCGCACCCTGTACCTCGCGAGCGGCGTGGGCGCGGGTTCGGCGGGCTCGGCGGATTCCGACCGGGACGCGAGCGCGGTCGGCTGCTGGCCAAAGGAGCCGCTGTTGGCGAGGGTGATGGTGTGGATGTAGCGCAGCTTGCCGTTCTCGAGGCGGAACTCGTGGCTGTCGGGAGCGTTGTCGAGATGCTCGAAGATGCAGAGGACGCTGACGGCGCCGTAGGTCGGGTCGATGACGTAGCGGCGGTGGGAGTTGGGCGGCTGCTGGTGGTTCGTCGGGACGCCGACCCGGCACGAGTCCGTGGGCAGGCCCCTGCCGGTCGACACGCTGCCCTCGAGCCGGCTGCAGGGCGTGCCCCACGGCACGGCGGCCTCGGCGGTCGCGTTGCTCCACATGTCGAGGTACGCGTCGGCCGCGTTCTTGAGCGTCACGCGGGAGTCGCGCTTGCCCTCCTCGATGAGGAACCAGTTCTCCTTGGACGCGTACTCGAGCGTGCGCGTCGCGTTGAAGAGCCAGGACCCGGTCGTGCTGACGAGGAGGTCGATGAGGTAGCAGGTCAGGTCGCCAGGCGAGTGGCGGATCTGGGTGCCGATCACGTACGGCGCCGGCTGCCCGGAGACGTTGTGGGTGATGATGAGCTCGGTGAAGGAGGAGCAGTCGACCGTGTCGATGATGGTGTGGCGGTGGGCGATCTTGAGCGCGTGGTAGAAGATGCCGCTGGTGATCTCGCGCGTCGCGTTATTCTCCATGTACGTGAAGTTGTCGGCGATGTGGTCCAGGTGGTACAGCTGCCCGTTCTCGTGCGCGACGACGTACTGGTCCGCGAATTCCATCAGCGCCGTCCGGTTACACTCGTACTCGGCCGAGACTGTCGACAGCAGCGCTGTCCCGACGACGACCGCCGCGCGCAGCAGGTTGTGATACATCATGGCAGAAGGTTTTCGATAGTTTCCTATCTTCGTTTCTCTAGCAGACGGGCTTCTTCCTTTGGCAACAGTCGAGCTGTCTCCCCCCAATCGCCTTCACGGCACGGTACCTGCTATTTAGTCAACGTTAGATCTCTAAATAGCCGCGTGAGAGCAAGTGCCGTTCCCCAACACCACCGAGATCTGCCATGAACAGAGGCGGTCCCGGTAGAATAAGCGGGAAAAATAGAGCGGCGCAATTCTCACTGCCACTGCCTGCTGCACGAGCAATTGGCGGATATTAAAATACGACTCGGGAATCTGGGGGATTAGGTGCGCGGACCCAAAGAGGTAATGATGGAGGAGAGAATAGCAAAGCCTTAGTTTTCGAAGGGTTGGACTCCCATGTGCCGCGGCCTCGTTCTATCCCCCCCAGAATATCTGTATCAAGCATTTTCGGGCGTCGCCTTTGATCGATGCTACAGTGACACGCAGCCGGTATGGTCTCCACGAGGGGGCCTGGAGGGGGGATTTATCTTAAGCGACTGGGACCAGGAAGTAATTAAGTATCGGGGGGGTGTGGTGTCTGTCACTATTACATTCTGCCTTTACATACTCCCGCCTCTCACTTTAAAGGTAGACTGTAGGCGTCCTCCCATACTCCCTATTAAAGGATCCAGGTGGCGACGGCTTATACACGATAGGCTGACTATATACTCTTACCCTAGGTTCATACTAATACCTAGCCCCTTATCTAGTCTTACCACAACTTGTTGCCTAGCTTAGTTGATTCGCGTCTTCACCCCCCCCCTCCCCCATAACCTGACCGGGAAAGCCTTCCAGCCCCTAAAGAGTTCGAAAGCAAATTAAATAAAACATCTACCGGTCTCCTTTATCTCCCACTCTCATTGCGAGACCTACGCAGCCGGGGTCTCGTCTATGAAACGTATCAGAATACGACCTGGGCTTCATGACCTAGATCCCAGGATAAGAGGTAAGCTTGGAAATATGGTTTCTTGGGCAACATGGTCTTGACCACCCACCTCCTCTCTGCTCCAGGTCGAGCATTCCGGATCTGAAGACTAGCGAGGCGTCAGAAACTCGGCATATATTGTAAGCTCATGCGCTTAGAGACTTTATGCACTTTGCCGCTTAAGAACAAGTACCGTATTATACCTGAAAAAATCTCGATTTTCTGAGTCTCTGTAGACACTTGCGAGGGCTTGATGGTCCGCTTTGGCTAGTATTGAGGTGGGAAGATGCCTAAAAGTGGCTATAAGGTTGAACCCCTTTCCTTTAGATCGCAGCCTATGTTGAATGCGCTAGGCGGCTCTGAAGCTTTACAGCCCGTGGCCAAAAAGGAATCGTGGTGTACTCCGGGCAGAAGCACACATATGCAGCGGCATTTTATGATAGGGGAGAAATAGCCCGATTAACAGGCAATATATAACATTATGGAGAAAGGGTTAGCTGAATGCGCTGGAAACTTTTTATTATGTATCTACAACAGACAGGTCGTAACCGTAATACCAAACCTCGCAAGACTTAGAAGGTTATTGCTCCATGCCCCGTTACCTCTGTGCCGATATCTTGCTCCGTCTATACTATATTAGGTGGTGCCAGAAGGAGAAGCTGTCCCAGGGAGCCTTCAACCCCTTTGACCGCAGGATGATAGAGAAGAGTTCCCTGTAGATGGTCCGCCAGGGGCCGTCTGTCTCCCATCCTGACCTTCGTAAGCGCTATCTGAATGAGAGTCCCACACCAACCCTGTGCCATCACAGGGCTCGCACTGCTTCACCCTAGGAGGGGAGGGGACCTCGGTTAGCATGTTGTGAATTATTTTATCACGGCACTCACTTACAGTCGTGAAGTCCCGAGACAGCAAGGACATGAATAAGGCAGGCGATAGTCTGGACCAAAACCATATATCCTCCTGTCTTCAATTGATGTATCCAAGTCTGGTTGAGGAGACATGGCAAAGATGGCCGCTTGATGAGGACGGATGGGGAATATGAATACACTAGTAGTCAAGGTATTTCAGTCAAGATAGTATCACAAGTTTCACTTGCTCTGGAAATCACCCCATCGAAAGGAGCATGTCCTTTATACCAATGTTGACCGCAAGATCATGTTTTAGACGACCTATCATGTCAAACATTGTGACCTTGTTACGTAGGGTGCAGTGTGCGAAGGCTGCAGGCATGACATGTAATAAACCCCATGGCTTCACCGACTCGGCACATGGTATTTCCCTGCAATATTATTTATTGTTTCCGCGGTATCATAACCAGACAGAGAGAAGACCTATTGAAAATGGGGCGGGTTATTGCCTTAAGTGCCTGTCCTTGCTGCCCGACAGGGACTAAAATAAGGCAACTGGAACACCGGCAGCCATCTTCTAGGCGTACTTGTCGGCTCAAGATATTTCCCCTCATATCCAAGATTATTCCTAGGGCGCGTATCCTAGGCCTAAGCCGCAATCGGCTGACTGCAGACGAATTGCACCTCTTTCTAAAGCTTTGGGGCTTGAAGCCATTTAATCTTTGTAATAGACCGCTCATTTAGTTCGCAGGTATTCGCGTGTGCTCTCATGCTTCGCAATCTCCCCGGCGCCACTGTTACAAATCGGGAGGGCGTGGTGAAGCTATTAGTTATTGGTGCTGCCACCGGAAGTCCGAGGTCTTAGTTCGGAAAGATTCCTTTCCACAAAGGGGCTCGACGAGCTGACATCCAGGCTCACCCGATAGATCAAGTAAGCGCCCAGGAGAATGAATGGCCCTATGAGACCGTGCCTTTTCAAGTCCTGCCGATCGGCTGCAAGCAGCCGCGACACAGGCCAATGTTATTACCTGCGAGTCTCACGGCGACACATAGTACGAGCGTCGCCCGAAGATAGATATTATTTCCGTAGCCGTTGATTGGCATGTGAGATTCCCGGGGGCTCGCAGTTCCATGCCACCATGTGGCTTATTGTGTTTCTCATCTTGCACCCAGTCAGGCCCAATCGAGTCGGGTTCAGTATGCCCTTAGTATCGTCGCTATTCCAGCGATCCGGGGTACGGCTCCCCTCATTTTGTCTCGAAGCAACTCTGAAGTAAGTGCGCGCCGCTACCCCTCGTAGCCTTCGATTGAATGACGCGCCTCGTCATGATACCCGCCGGCAACGGGGGTAATAGATAGACCAATGCCCGCCTTGTCTCTAACCGAGAAGAAGGCGCCAGTAGGATTGACTCGAGCGGACTCACGGCCTCTAGCAAGCGCTGCTCTCGACACCAACGGGTTCTGCTTCTGCTCAGTTCATTCACTCTCGGAGCTAATCCACTGGGTCATATTGGCTAGGTATGTCTCGAGTTGAGGATAGCTGCCTGAGGAGTCACGTGCGAGGGCATATCTACCGCATCTGAGAGGCCTGCGGGCATTTATATACAGGTATATACCCGTAATTGGTGCTCCCTATTCCTGGAATTTCGCGTACAGGATTCTCTACGTAGGGCTTCGGCTCGGCTGAGGTGTGTAATTACAGGAGAAGAAAAATGCCCGTCAAGGTATGGAACATAGAAATAGCTCAATACCACGATAATTTACCCAAAGATTGATGCAGTTTCGGGTAGAAATCGTGTGGTATAACTAGAAATGCCTACTGTTTATGTGTGGCTTCATAAATATCGAAGGCGTGGAAAACGTTGATTTATGCTTGTAAGACTCTTAAGGTTTGTGGATCGGTTATATCTTCTTCCTACAAAGTTGCTGCGCAAGCTGATTGTATAACTCGGAATCGGAATGCCAACGAGACCAAGTTGAACAGCTAGCTGAGCTACTCAGTCTCCACCTGAGTCGGCTAAGGTACACCTCTCAAAAGAAGAAGCTGACGGCTTCAACTAACTCCGTCCTTAAGGCTCTAAGATTTGAAGGCCGTGATGCTTGGCGCGTGCGATTCTATATACATACAGTTTCTCCGTCTAATCCTCCTAGTGGGTACTCATACCGATAACTTGCCACCGGGGGAAACAAATACCGACTATATAAACCAGCACACCTGAAGGAGGAAGTGTAGGCGTCTGTGTTTTGATGGGACTCAACCATGGATACCTTGGAGGTATAGTCACACCACCAACTTGGGGAATCCTCTGATGTTGTTTCGTTGGCATATAAGCGAGGACGTACACCAGTAGGTATATAATTCGCCGGTAGATCAAAGCGTTGCTAACCGACATCAACGGACCTCTTCTCTACCTGTGCGGATCGGTGGAATCGGGGTGCTGGCGCGTAGATGCTCGAAGTGGTCAGAGATGTTACTCGTGTGCCATGCCGTACGCACGACCTTGACTATGTCCTGTACATATTCAACTGAGAGCTCGCGCTCCAGTCGCCAAGCCCAGAAGCCAATAGTTTCAGCATCCTCACCCCGCGCTCACCCCAGCCGGCCCAGCTCGCGCCGGGGGCACAATCGGAGGGTAGAGCCTGATGCTCTGTGCTATTGATATCGTCCACCCGACATAGAGGAATCATACACCGAACTTCTCGCAACAACCGAGCCAAAGCTAGCTATTGCTGGAAGGGAATCAGAATAATAGTCCTTTGGGCAAACTGAACCCGAGGGTCGCACCCGACGACTCACATTCCGCCAAGAACTAGTGCTCAACCTTCCGGGCTGGCTCGCGCTTTCTCGAGGACTCTCTTGCTGACTTGCTACGGGATCTCGAATGTATCATCTTGACGCTACCGGCGGCAAAGTTGGATATCTTCATGAGGGTGGCCAGTTGGACTTCGCATTGCCCCGGAGGCGGGGTCGGGTCAGACGCTTCTATTCCACGCGTCGTCGCCGGGCCCTGTCCCCGAGAGGGAAGTTAGCACTGATGGGTCGGGTCGAGAGTTAAGTGTCGCCATACAGCCTATGTTATGTCCATTGCGCGACAGCTCTTACCTGCGTCACTTTCCATCAACGGGTTCGTACCATCTTCCGTGAGGTCGTTACTATAGGCTCGGCGAGGTCTCACGGCGCGCGTGTTGCCCGATAGAGCTACCATGGACTTCAATCTTGTCAACTTGGGTGCCATTTTCGCTGGTTGCCAACACGACCGGATCCGTTCGAGAAGCGTGGCTGGGGTCGGACAGCAACAATCCTAAATCCGTCGAACACTCAAAATAGACAAGAGAAAACCATGAAGAGAAAAGGGGGAGGGAGCGGGGATAATAAAAAACGAGCTCCCTCCAGAGCTACCCCCGGCAAGGTCACCACCACTAATGCTAGCGAAAGCGGGATTCACGTACTAATACTGGCAGTTTTATCGACCTAGAAATGGGGGGATAGGGGCATATCAACGGGCAGGCCGGAACCAAGGTTCGAGCAACTTAGGTCGATGAAAAGGACTTGGCTTGAATAATTGCATCGGTCTGTGTACGAAAAGTAACTGATCGTACCCTCACCCACAAAGGTGAGCAGGGCGGATCGTGATGTGTGTGGGCGACCCAATAGAATCAATGAGTAGGTACCATAGAGGGCGAAGTTCGGTACCGAACTTAGGTGTGTACTATAGGCAGGTAACAGGTAGGTAGGAGGGTGTATCGAATTGTATAGGCATCACACCCAATAGGTACATAATACATACCTAATAATACCTACCCGTTGTAGGTATATGTAAGGTCGACGACCTAGCCTAAGATGATGATATCATCGATTTGTATCGATATGGTATACACGCGTAATCGCACCTATGTCAACGTTACCCCGTAACGGACATTACCATATAACCACCTCGCCATTTCAGGAAGATGGAGAATAGCCTATAGTCGGCACTGTGCAAAGATCATCACCACCCGTGTTGCCTACGCCACGAAAGCATGGATGAGGAACGCACGTAGTAGAGCCGCAGGGCGGTGTGGGCATAAGTATGCCGCCTAGCATATGGCTTATGGCAGGAAACCCGTCGTGAAGCACTGAGCGGGAGATGGCGCATGCCCTGAGGCGTCGGCCCTTTGGAGATGGGCAGATTGGAGGGCGTAATAGTGGGTGCTCTCCACAGCAACCACCGGGGGAACCCACCAAAGCTAGACCTACAGGTACCTACCTCTTACTATGCAGAATCGAGAGACCCCAACAGAAGAGTGTCGAGCCGCTGTTGTAGCGCTGCTACGGCCTATTCGCCTGCAGGTAAGGCATCCGGCTAATGCGTAGGATGCGAAGATAGGTATGCGCCGGGGAAACAATCCCACATACAGCCTTTCTTCATGAACCACGCGGGGCGTCTACGGGTCTGCGTGTGATATAACACCTAGGGTTACAAAAAAGGAGTCCTAGCGCTGGAAGGTCTGGTTGTTTTCCGAACGGTACGTGCAAGTCTGCCAGTCCTCCACCCGCTGCTCGCCCCAGGAGTACGTCTCACCCCAATCCGGCACGCACTCCTGCCAGGCGAGGTCCCAATCGACAGTCAAGCCCGAGTCTAGCCGGCTAGTCCCCTCGCCGGTACCGTCGCTGCTGGTAGCCGAGACCTCGAAGTCGATGTAGGTGAAATCTTGAGAGCTGCCCTCCGTGCCGTGGAAGCACGGCGACCATACAAGCTGCGCGGGCGACGCCACAGGCACATCAAAGTCGTCAGTGAAGCTGCCGTCTCCGCCGATTTTCGCCGGCGTCAGCTGCGTAAGCTACTCGGTGTCAGTTAGGAGAAGGGACGCCACAGCGCGAGAAGGCGGGCGGGCTAGAGAAGAGCAACGCACCATAGTAGACAGAGACAGATTCGTAACCTCAGGCGGGGTGATGGGACTGAGGTTCTTGAGGTGCTGCAGCCGGAAGGTGGCGGTGGTGTTGAACTGGTAAATCTGCGCGCCGTCGGTCAAGTTCGCCCGGCCCCTCACGGTGGCGCCCGAGATGGCAACGCGATACCGGTAGTACCAGTCATTCAGCTCCACCCTGAACTGGCAGCCGGCATACGTGTCAGTCCGGCCGTGGCTCGTGGCCTGGAACTGCAGCTCTGGGAGCGTCGTCGTGAGCTTGCCGGCATCGATGGAGATGCTGAGGCTCTTGCCGGGCGAGCACTGGAACGGGTCTCGCGAGGACAGAGAGCTCACGCCCGGCATCTGGGGCGGAGAGACGCCCTGGGCGAAGGCAGACGCCACGAAGGCAAGGCTTGTAAGGGCGGTAGAGGGTCTCATGGTTGCAACAGCTTGTTTACCGAGCTGGGTTCTAACAGCTTGAGTTATGGGGGTTGATAAGTTTGAAGCGACGCGAGTCGGGAAAGCAGTTGGTTGGAGAGGAGAGAAGAGGAGGGGTGTAGAGGGAGGGACGGGGTTGAGCAGAATTTCATGGCGGATTAGTGAAAACAATTGTTTGCTTCACATACTTGACTAATTACGCGGTCAAGATGGCAATCTACGTCAAGATGGGCTGCGATTGCCCTGTATGGCACCAACAGCGTCCTCGCCGTCCCTAATCTGATGAGCGACCGATCAAAGAGGTTGCATAATCAATTTCCCGAAGTGGGAGTCTAGATCGAGTATGCTGACGTCTCGGCTCCTCAGCGGCTGAAGGCGAACAGACTTACACCATCACTTCTACTACTGAGCTTAGAGAGGCTGTGGCATGCTCAGGGCCTGAGATGGCGCCGCGACATATTATTAGTTGGTAGGCAATCTCTCTATACCTACTCAACGACGACGGCATGAGATCTAAACACCGCAACTGCGATTCCTCGGCGTGCCTGGGAGTGGGGAATACGACAATCGAAGAAGGGAGCCAAAATCAGGACAGAAGCACAGGAAGATATGTTGAACGAGTATTAGCGATCGAGTCTGATTGTTGGTGTAAACCGAGGGCGGGGCACGACCTGGCTCACGACTTACGACAGGGGGTAGGAGATCCGGGAGAAGAACAAAGACCGGGATGGTGGCGGGATAACGGGTCTAGGAACCCGCGTGTCGGGGCCGGCCTGAATCCCTCTCACGCTAATATCCCGGCAAGCTACCTCGTGCGTAATATTGACAGGTAGCAACGCCGCCCCGGACTAGGATTAATCTGTCTCTACTTATAGACATAAACACATGGCCGTTCCCTATATATGATATATACCATCTGTCACAGGACCACGGGCCACCCCCCCGCGGGCCACCCTGCTCCCCACCAAAAAAAGGAAAAAGTCGCTATTTTCAAACACGTATAATGTTATAAATATAAGGATTTAAAGGTTATAAGTTATATCAGTCGAATTGCCTTTTCAAGCTCTTTAAGTAAATATAAGTTATATAATACCGAACGGGGTTATGGTCTAAATATAGACGGTAAAACTAAGGTAAAAGTTTTAAAAAGATATAATAATTTTAAGTTTATAAATAATGAACCGATATTAAATTATTTTTTAAAATAAATTTAATTTTTAAAATGAGTTATATATTAAGGAGGAGCAGAGCGTACGCGATGCTAGAGACCCGGATAAGTTTACTCGAAAGTATATTTTATCGAAGACTATAGTACGTACGATGGTCTAAGATAGATGAAACTAATATCGCTATATTAATCGAGAGGTAAGGAATTTAATATAGTTATCGTATCTTAGCTATGTTCCTTAGTCGTAGAGATATAGTAGTCGCTAGCCCGAAGGTATAAGAGGTAAGAGGAGAAAAGGGGTAAAACGTAAAAGTTACTTATTCGGTTATAGCGGTACGACGAAGTAACTTAAGCGCCTATAATTAAAATAAATATATTAATCGGAGAACGACGAATCTAATAATAAAAACGAATCTTTAATTAAAGTAAAAATAATAAAGATAGTAATCTAGCTAAGTAATAAATTAAATAATAAATATAATATGTTCCGTACTTACGGGTACTATAGTTACTCTATATAGGTATAAGGCCTATCGTAACGTATTACGTAATATATTAAGAAGGTATGTCCTACCGTATTACTATAGCCTCCTTAGTTTAATTATACCGTAAGGAATAATTAAATTAAAAAGAATAGTATAATATATTCCGATTAATATCTTCCCTTAAAAACTACCGCGAAACTTTATTTTACCGGTTATTATTTAATTATTATCGTTATACCTTTAGCTTTTCGTTTAATATTATAAGGAAGCCTCTTTATTATTTTACGGTTAACTTAGCCCGGTTTACCTTCGCCGATCTAACCCGATTAACGTTTTCCTTCTTTATTTCGGCTACCTTCTTTTTAGTTTCGTCTTAGCTTTCTTAGTTAGGGGGATAGTAAGGGAGCGGGCGCGTTCCGAGGGTTAATTAGGTATCTCTCTTTTACTTATACGGTATGGAGGTCTTCCCCGACTAGAAAGCCTTAATCCTTTTTAGTTCGGAGGGAGGGAAGGAGCGCGTTATAACCTTAACGAGGTTATCGTAGCGGAAGTTTACGTCCGTTAATACGAAGGAATAAGGGGAATTAAATACTAAGGCTATAAAGGAACGGCGGATTTCGGCTTATGCGATAAACCGAACGGAGGATTTACGGCTAAGGGGCTTACCGATCGGCGTACTTTAAGCGGATATTATAGCGTTAATAAGGTTAATTCGCTTTTAATAATTTACGGCTTACCGGAAACGCTTAACGATATTAACCTTTCCTTTTAAAACCCGAACGTTATAAAATTACTCTACTACTTCGGCGTATTTTCTTATAATATTAAGGGGGTTAAGCCTCTTATTTTCTTAGGCCTAGCGTACGACTTCGATCGGTCGTTTAAAGATAAGATACGGTAAAATACCGCTTTAAAAACCGTAGCTATAGCTATCTTATTAGTTTATTAACGCGATATAGTAAGTAGACTAAGGGATTATACCGGGCTCGAGGCTATCGTTTTCTTAAGCTCGCTATAATTAACCGAGCGCGTACGCCGCTCGATCGAAGGCGTCGTTTCTAATTATATTAAAACTATATAGTTTCCGGAGCTTAGGAAGATATAGCGTTACGGCGAAGTAGGCTTAAGAGAACTTCGTAGGGTCGGTAATAGCTCGTTCGGGGTTTATTAGATCCGTATAAATCGTAAAAACTAAAGTAAAAGCGGGGTTATCGAGGAGGTATCGGCGGGTTAGGAAATCAAACGATCCTATCGATCGATAGCCTATCGTTTAATACGGGTCTACTTCGAAGGCTACCTTCTTATCTTCGAAGTCGTAACTTATTATAATATAAAAGGTACGGATGTTTTCGTTAGTAAAGTAGTCGTAACGGGCGACGTAAACGAAAGAGTTAGCTAAAGCTACCTTCGTTTATTTTTATTACTATTAATCTATAGTTCGGGGCCGATTAACGGATAGCCGGAAGGCCTAGGTTATATCGGATCTTAATTCGATCTAGCCCTTTCCCGAATCGTAATTATTTAAAGTATTAAGCTAGTACTCCTTTATATTACTTTAGTTATCTTTATTATTATAAATCTCCCGTAGGAGTTTTATTAGGTCGGTTAGATCGGCGCGACGTATGTTTTTATAAACGAAGGAAAGGAAGAAGGAGGAGGGGATTCCGGCGGAGCGGGAGGAAAACATAATAAAAATAAAAAAAAGAATTTAAGGAAAGGAGAAGAAAAGATAATAAGTTAAAGGTAAAAATAAGAATTTAAATTAATAATAAGAAAGGTAGGCTAGAGATTAATAAGAATATAATAATTATAAGAGGGAGGTTTCGAAATAAGATACCTAAAAAGGAAAAAGAAAGGAAGGAAGGAAGACGTATTAACGATATAATTAGATATACCTTTACGGCTAACGCTTTAGGAAAACGCGTTCTCCCGTATACGTATAAAGCTATAATAGGAAACGCGTTAGCTTATAGCTTCTTATTATATACTCTTAGTAAAGTAATAAGTACGTACGTTCTTAGACTCGTAATTAAACGTAGGCTAGAATAAGTACTATCGAAACTCTCCTAAGTACGGTACTTACGACTTAAATAACGTATTCGACTCTCTCGTTCTCGTCCGACCTCTTCTCTTATTTCTCGCTATTCTATAGTTCCGATCTACTTCCTTTCTTTTATTTCTTAGGTTCTCTATCTTCGTTTTAATTCGTTTTTCGATTTTTCTTAATTCTAGATTTATAATTTCGTCGTTCCTATCTTTTTTTTTTATATATATATATATATAATAAATCCTATTATTTAGAAGTAATTCCTTAAATTAAACCGGGCGACCGCCTTTAAGCTATTCGAATAACTAAAGGCTACGAGGATTACCGACGAAAAGATTACCGGGACGTTTAAGAAGGCTAAGGAGAATAAGAAGAAAGCCGTAACGTATTAGCGGGCTAAGTCGATACCGCTACCGGTAAACCTAATAAATAAGTAGCCCGACGAGTCCTTCCGCCGCTTATCCTCTACCGAGGAATTCCGGGACGTTAATCGGCTAATCCTTAAGCCTTAATAAGTATTATACGCCCCGTACTTCCGCTCGTTAGATTAAAGCCCGAAAGTAATTATCGGCCGGTAGCTCCGGAATATCGAAGGAATTCGGGTAATAAACTAATAACGCTAGGTATATAGCTCTTAATATTAATAAGATTTATTAATCGAAGGCTATATTAATTAATAATAAAATAATTCGTAACGTCCGGTTTTATTTTCTAGGTAGGCCGGCGGCCGGCCGGTATATCGTATAGGAGATTATAAGTAAGGACTTTTAAAAGGTTACTTATTTTTAAAGCTACGTTATATCCCTCGTTTATTACGTTTAATCCTTTCGCCGCCGGACGTTATTTATAAAGATTAATAATAAAGAATTAGTTAGCGAATATTTCCGTCGATTAACGACAGATCCTCGTTACGTCGTTAGTTTATTTATTTAATAATATAAGGTATCTAACGAGGTACCTTATTAATACTACGAACGCCGGCTCGCCTTTTCCGATATCGTTAAATACGCGGGTATATAGCCATTCTTTTCCTACCGATCCCTAGCCTCCGATCGTATCTTTAGGTATTCCTACGGCGTTTACCTCTTCTTTATTAACGAGGTACGTTATAAATTCCGGGACGAGCGATTTACCTACTTACGGGTAAGAATAAATCGTAACCTCCTTTTAATAAAGGATCTAAGCTAGGCCTTATGCCCGCTTATAATACGGGTAACGGGAGAAGAGTTACTAGCTATAATAAACTCGAAAATCGTTACGTTCCGGGGGTCGGAAAGTAAGTAAGTTTTTAGTTTTCTTAGTAACTAGTAAGTAAGGAATAAGATAAGGAAACTAAGAGGAAAAGAGAGGTATTAATCGGCGGTTATATATTACTTCTAGCTTATTTTTAAACGCGTATTCCTTTTCTTTTCCTTTTTCTTTTACTTTTACTAATATAAATTACTTCCCTTACTTTTTCTTTAAATACTAAAATATACCTATATTAAAATATAATAGTTACGTAATATTAGGATATTAATATTCCGGATTCCTAACGATAAACGCAAAGGATAACTTATCTAAGTATAAGAACGCGTTAATCGGCGTTAATAATCTATGGAAATATACTTTCTTTTAAGGTAAGAAATAAGGAAAGGCGTATTTATTAATATTATGATTTAAGGTATTAATTTCGTATATAAGCTACCGGTTTAATAACCATATAGGAATAACTTCTTTCCTTCCTTACTTAGGAAAGCGATTATATATTAAGCTCTTAGGCTTTATTATTCCTCGATCGGTATAGGTAGGTTATTTTAAGGCATTATAGCCTTATCGTATTATAGTAAGAGGGTTATTTATTAAGTCGAATCGATCTTCTTAGTCCGGGTTTATCGTTAAGTATAACTTCGTATCCTTTAAGCTTTTTATTTAGTATTTTTATTATAATTCGTACCTTATCGTTCGGGGCTAATTATTCTTCTTCTTCGTCGTCGATTACCGAGGGTATAGGCTTTAGGCCTTCTTT